GCCACCACCCAGGGTGAGTTCTCCGACATCATCACCGCCACCACCCAGGGTGAGTTCTCCGACATCATCACAGCCACCACCCAGGGTGAGTTCTCTGACATCATCACCGCCACCACCCAGGGTGAGTTCTCCGACATCATCACCACCACCACCCAGGGTGATTGGTTTGGTCTTGCCTTGCCAATTATTTACTAAACTTCACAGCCATCGCTGATTGGGCTTTCTTTATTATTAACTTATTTCTTTATTTACTGCGCAACTTTACCAGCGTTTTTTTAAATAATAATATGTTATTGACGAAGAAGAAAGTTCGGCTCACAAATATTAATGTTGATTGCGCGGCAGTGTAATAATATAATACGGTACAATTAAAAATATAATAATATTATTTGGCTTAAAGTTATACGGCAAGTGAATAGAAACTTTTCAAGTAAGTGTGGTCAACTGGCCTATACTTACGCAATGAATTCTTTTAGGCGAATTTATTCATATTTCGACGTAATCTTTGTGAATTATATTGTACCGTTAAGTTGTATTCCTGTTCTATATTCTGGCCGTACATGTGTCGGTTGCAATACACAGCATTGATCGCCTGTATTTTTTTAATCATTTCTTTATTTTAAAGAAGAATTCTTCAGCTGAAATTAAGACTGTCTCTTTAGTGACAATATCTAGAAAAACAAAATATGTTGATGATCATAATTTGTAATTATTTCGTGTTTATTAATTAATTATTAATTAGTATCCTTGATACTAATTAGTATCAAGGATATTTAATTAGTATTTAGCCTGTACGGTTTGCCGGTTGCCGACACCAACCCCATAGCCAATCATAATTGTTCTAATGATATTTGTTTTAATTATAATAATTATAATACGTGATAGTGGAAAACTCACTCTAGCTCCCATCATGACCTTGATCTTTGAAATAAATTTCTGACTAAAATGAATCACCTGGACTACTTACGTTTTCGCCCTTAATATTATATATGTTCGTTAATTTACCTATTTGCTCCTGGTATTACAGTTGCTGGAGCGATTGCAGCCTAATTACACAGTTGTACATTTAATTGTGTACATGTCTTTGTTTTTTATTAATAGAGTCCTAGTTTGTTGGAACCTTCTGCATCCCAGACATCGTGGAGCTGTTTATTTTAAATGCATTACTTTAACATCCATTTAATGAATATGCATTCATTGAATGTTAATTCACTGAATATGCATTCATTGAATGTTAATTCACTGAATATGCATTCATTGAATATATGTATGCATTCATTGAACATACATTCATTGCATATATGCATTCATAGAATGTATGCATTCATTAAATATATGCATTTATTGAACATGCATTAATTTTTCATGCATATATAGAACATGCAATAATTTTTCATGCATATATTAAACAAAGTTCTCGACATGAGCAATAATCTCGCGTGTTGTAGGCAAAACTCCAACAGCCACGGGCGGGGTCAACGAGGAACCCCACAACCCTAACGGCAACCCCCAGGCCCCTAACCAAATCCCCCACACGGGGGGTGACCATTCACAGGTTCATCCCCCGGGGGGACCTGTAGTCGGTAAGGGGACTCACGCAGCGCTCGTTATCCCTGCATCTCATCTTTTTTCCCCATGGTGTTTAATATATTTTTATTTCCTATTATTATAACCAATAAAAAATCCTCAGTTGTACATTTTTTCTTCATTTGTATATAAATTGACCCTTTTTAATTTTTTTAATAGTACTGCTGCTTGCACGCGCAAAAATTCTGTTACTGACAATTTAATTTATATTTCCACAGTCCCTGTTTTTTTCAGTTCACGCAAGAATGTCTGCCGAAACCTACATTTTTATCCTGATTTTACAAAATGCCTCGTAAAGATATTTTTGTTTATGGCTTTGGCTGCTGTACCACACGCATTCAACTTCACAATTCCTCATGTTTTATTAAATTTCTTTAGTTTTTTTCACTCGTCATTTAATTACCTAAGATTATAAAAATTCTTTTTGGATTTCCGGGCACTTCATTTCCGTTTGATTTTAAATGCCGTCATCTTTTCAGTCAACAATTGTAATAAATGTTAATAAATATAATTGCTCCATGTTAATGTGGGAGCAATTATTGAATGTTTTCTTTTTCTCGTTCCTCGATATGATTTCAATTTATTTTATTCAGTTTATTTTTTAAATACCAGAAGGCGACAACGACTGGCTGCTACTTTTGCTGGCCTCCGAGAACATGGCAATTCTATTTCGTGTTAACTTTTGTTCATATTTATTTGCCGATTTATTTCATATTATTTACTTATACTTTTATGCAATTTTGAGCTCATATTTTCTCCCGGCTGTTCGGCTCCATACCTACAACTGCATCGTGTGTTTTATTCAAACGAATTATAATTCTAACCCTTTTGCTAATAGTTTTCCCATTAAATATTTTTATTAAAATATCCACACATCCCATGCCAGTCCCATGAAGTATACCTTGCATACAACATTTATTTTGCATGCTTCAGTCGTTATTTGCTTGTATAGTTCCCGAGCTGAATGACAACTTCGAGTTTTTTGTCTTAATTTTTAATGTAACTCGTGCATCCTTTTATGGTTTTTTCGTGGCCAGCGGGTTGGCTTTAGCGTGCATTAGAACTCCTGGCATCCTTTCTTGCATTCAATATCTGAGAATTGTTATCGTGTTATCCCATAGAATACGATCACTGGCAGATGGTAGTCTATCCCACTGACTCCTCCGGAACCACCTACTTCCCTACCATCGTCAACCCTAAAGGTATTCAATCGTAATCGTAATAACCTAATCGTTCTTAATCGTATTCAGCCGTAATCGTAACAACCTAATCGTATTCAACCGTAATCGTAACAAACTAATCGTATTCAACCGTAATCGTAACAACCTAATCGTATTCAACCGTAATCGTAACAACCTGATCGAACCTAATCGTATTCAACCGTAATCGTAACAACCTGATCGTACCTAATCGTATTCAACCGTAATCGTAACAACCTAAGAAATGGTCATTGTAACTACCCAACTATTTCCTGTTAATAAAAATATATTTCCATTCATTCAATTCAATTTTCTAATCCGAGTAGGAAATTTTCAGAATTTGTATTGATCCAATTTTAATTTCGTCCAAATTTCGGAATTGCACGAAGTTTCGAAGAAAATAAAAAGGATGCCGACATCGGTGCGGTGGTGGTTTATTCTGCTTAACCCTTTGAATGAGTAATACTAATTGCACGTAATCAAGTTTCGAGTTTTTTAGTATTTTCATAATTGTTTATTTTGTTTCGATGAAATATTTGTTTATATTCATGACAATCCTACTGAGCGAACGGGTTGTTAATGAACAGTTCTCATTTCATTTTATATTTATCATTAGAGTTTCCTTCAATTCTCGTCTTTAGCGTAATCATTTGCCTCATTTTTAGCGCATTTTCTCATTTATGGAAGAAATACACTATTGTGCTCGCCATGTCCGTCCGTCCGTCCGTGACCTCAAGTTTTCGTCGACGAGAAAATGCGCTCTCTGTCACTCACTGCAGTGAGTACTGAGTTATATTTTTGGTATTATGGCTTGGCTTTGTCATTAACGTTTTTGCAGGGAATTTTTTTTTTATCCCAACGCTCCTTAGCATTATTCTTGTAGTAAGTATGTTATTTCCATCAATTGTCCTTACATTACTTTTTTGTTAGTGATAAGTGACTAAAATTGTAGTTGCACCTTTTCTATTGTTCTTAATTGAGTAGAAATTAGCTTCTTCTGCATTGTTTGAATAGTGATGAGTTCCAAGCATAAAAAGTTTTACAATTTTTTTATTTCTTTACATTGGAATCATTTTGTAATTTAACATATGAAAATCTGTGCTCCATTCCTTAATGTTTCGTGCTGGACATGAATCCACTGTGTGATAACTTCGATGTTATAATCAACTCAATTGAAATATTTTGTTTCGGAAATCTTAATGAAACCAAAGAGTTCTGTTTACCCCAATTGGAGAATCATTCATACCTTATTATATTTTTTAATATTGAACTCTTGTTTGAAAGAAACAGTACAGTTGTTTTATTTAAGTTTAGATTAAAACATGATTTTTATCAGAATGATTTTTTTTGTGCCGATGATTAACCGCTCGCCTGCACTTCTTTATAACAATACATAAAATTTTATTTGCGAATAGATGCCAAAATATGTTGCTATTTTTAAATAAATATACAGTATTCACTCGGTAATTAATTATTGTCGCTGAATTCTCATATTAAATATGCAAACTCGAAATTGTATAAATTCAGTTATTTTCTGTAATAAATAATTTATATTGATGAAGACGTAATATATGAAGGTGAATATTTTTACATACAAAGTCGTTTTGAAAATGTAGCTGTCATGCTATGATCTTCTTCTCATATGCATCTCTGAATTAATCGTAGCTGAGGTAGTTTGTGTTTCATTGCATAAAATTATACGGTTTGAAAACACGAACCAGAGAATTTCAAGTTATTCTACTCACCATACGAGTATACAAATTCATGTATGATCCAGCTGTTTTTCTTCGTTGTGGATTTATTTAATGAAATTTTCAAGAAAGAGGAACATGCATGTCAATATAATTTGTTGCCGTTTATGAAATTAGTAAATAGTTAACAGATAGGACGAATGCGATTAGACATTAATTACAGCAGTAAGTAAAAAACATTTTGACCAACTCGAACTTAGTACAATTTTCAAAGTATAAAATCTGGTGACTTCTTGAATCCCAAAAAATTTCAATGCTGTTATCAACACATTTCAATACAGCGGCCAAAATACAAATAATGAAACTATTTTACATCAAAGACTTACATAATACGAGGTTAATCCCTATACTCTGTGGATTAATTTTTCTGCTAGTAACCTGGAGTAAACTAAAGAATTTATTCATACCGAGTTAGTCGAGTAGTCGTAGAGATATCGCAAACAGCTGTATGAAAATAGTAATTGGTTCTGAAATTTTCACGTGCAAAGTTTACCGTTCACGACGCAATTTAATGCAGGCATTGCTTAGCTACTGCAGGTACACTTTTCAGTATGGTTCAAAATATCTATAACATCCAAACTGTTATTTGTTATTCCACATAAAATACACATACAGCCAGCATACAGTTTCAGTGAAAGCGTGTTCAGTTAAAACTATGTGCTGACACGCTGTGTTTATTACGGCCATTGTATACTATTATATTTTCCTCATTTTACAATCTCAAATAACAGTTATTGTTCTAGCCAATCTCCGCTCGCTGTTCTAATGTTCAACTTGCTCTTCTCTCTCATCCGCTGCCGTGTGCCACAACTGCCGACACTTTACGCCATCGCTTCTCCTTATCTTCTTCCTTTTCTTCTCTTGTTGTCTCATTTTCTTTATTATCTTTATCTATTCCTAATTCTGTTCACAATTCATTTCCTTGCTTTTATTTTCAATCCATGTCCTTGCTCCCCTTTCTAATCCATTTCCTCGCTCCTCACTCCAATCCATTTCCTCGCTCCTTTCTCCAATCCATTTGTTTTCTTCTATTTTCAATCCATCTCTTTGCTACTCTTTTCAATTCACTTCCTTTTCGAACCTCTCTTCCTATGGATCTAATTTTGTGAAAGTTTCCTCATTGTTTCATTAAAATTACTTCCAAACTCATGTTTCACTTGTAACACGAAACTTTCTGAAAGTTTTAATTTCAAAATTAAAATTTCCATCGTTCGATATGAAATGGGTATCAAATATTACATCGTATCTCATTTATATGTTTCGGTCCTGATACCATCGTAAAAAAAAATTCTGTTGAATTACACTATTTCTTTGTTTCCTTCATTTGATGTTACGCGCTTCCGTTAATTCTCTACTCTCAAATTTATTCTAATTCGTTCTGATTCGCTGGGGATCTATTTATTCTATTATTTATTTGTTCATTTTATTGCCTCTTTTTTCGTATTTTCTAAATTTTGTTCCCTCTCTGCTACTTTGGTCCCTTGTTTTGTTTACCACTTCTGTGTTGTGCGGTCAAACATTGTTCATCCTAACATCACACATACCTGTATATAACTTACAGGTGAATCAGGTATGGTCATGCTCCAATTGCTACATTGTTAGCAGTGTCAGGATTTATAAATGTTACCGTTTCAGCATTAGAAACAGTTTGTTATAGGCACAAGTTGAATAACTACTTTCTAGACGTCCGATTTTTTTTAGAATATCTAGCGCTTAAAAATTTGCGTTCTGTGACGGTAGTTTTAAATTCCAAATGTCCTTTAAAATTCACTGCTAACTAATTATAATCCGTATTCTAGTATTTTGAGCAAATTTCTCGTCTATCGAATGATACGTGAAAGTCTCGCAATTCATTGCAGAAGTCATTTTCATTGCAGAAGTCATTTTCATTGCAGAAGTCATTTTAATTGCAGAAGTCATTTTCGTTCACTCAGTACGATGCAAATTCGACTCTCTCATTTCAACTCTCCTACATTCCAAGACTCGTGCAACAATTTCACGTTAGCTAAGCTGCGTAACTCAATAATAAACAGTTAACAAACGATGAACATAATTTGCGTTCAGACAATAAACACAGACTGTCGAAAAATTTTCGAAAAAAAAACTTGTCGAAGGCCTCTAGAACCCTGATGTAATTAACATGCAATGATTGGCATCTAATCCTGTCTAAAAATAGAATAAGTATCTCTACTTATCTTATTAAATTACTTTTTCTAAATAATGAAATCCATTCATTTGTGACCCATTCCTCACTCAGCTGGTGGAAGTAGATGAGAGCGCATTTTATTTTATTTTATAAATATTTAGATTATGAGTAAAAATTCTCTCTAATCAAGAACTATACTTCGATCGATGTCCCTTGTATTTTTGCCGTTTAGTTTTCAATCCAGACCCCATTTTATCCAAATTCCATCGCATTGGTTATGTATAGAACTGAATTAAACACTTGTTCTCCCTATTTGAACTCTTATTGATGTTCTTAACTTGATCATTAATTTATAAATGTCTGCTAAACTATTGTAATTAGTCAATATTTACCAGTGTACAAAAATTTCTCATCCCAAATCATATCTCCTGGAATTTCATTATTAAGTCTTTGCACAATTTACTCCACCACACTTAAATTTAAAATTTTTTTGAACCTTCCCTCATGCCAACGATTGCAAATTCTATACGATGATTGATGATTAAATTTCCTCGCTAATAAAAATATTAAAATATTAAAAATATTAATAAAATATAGGCTCTTTAATTATGATTCTACTTTTGTAGTTCTTATAATTTAGATACATAATATATGAACGACCGAGAGAGTCGCGATGCTACAAATATATACAGTCAAATCTGACTTCTAGTATTTTGAATAAAATATTTATTTAGGAAAATACTCTTCTTCCAAGAATTGATTCGACGTGTCATGGGTAGCGACGTCTGAAGTGCTAGAAGTTTTCCAAAACTGAACCTAAATGTACATGTTATTTCTTTTATAAATCGTATTTTTTTTCGTATTCGTATTTTTTTTCGTTTTGGCAACCGATGTAGCTCTGATTCCGATTATGATAGAGTCTAACTTTCAATAATCATCTTTTGAAGCAATTTTAGAAAATCCATAACTTTTATGTACCTCAAAGTTATACAAAGTTAATCAAAATTAGAATAATAACATCTGAAATAAAGAACATAACTGAACTGATGCGTATAGAATATCTTCAATTAAATAGTAATTAAATAATTAAAATGAATAGTAATTAATAAACAGCTAAATTGAACTGATGAATATAGAATATCTTCAATTCAATATTAATAAATTACTACTAAGGCTTTCAATTTGCATCGCGAACCTAATTTATAATTTTTTCAGTGCGATGTTCATATTACTTTATGCTCGCTAATCCCATAAGATTTATTATTAATAAATCCCATGAGATTTGCTATGATTATATTTTTCTCGGTCAGGCCCACAGCCTCCACCACCTCGCAACGTGACCATCACTCCTAATGGCGGAGGCTACACCATCTCGTGGCTTCCTCCTCTAGGCTCTGTGCCGATAACCTCTTATGACATCGAGCACAAGACAGGGGACAGCAATTGGAAGAAACTCAACAAGCGGGAGATCGTCAACGTAACCTCTTATCACGGTACGACTGGTTACAACTATCACGGTACGACTGGTTTCCATACTGGTTTAGCATAGGTGTTGTTTGTTCTAGCATAGACGTCATCAGTCTTGGCATATGTCCTCTGTTTTAGCATAGATGTCATCTGATTTTATCCTCTCGTGTCTTTTTTAGCCGCTTGTAACGTGCCCTCGAAGTTCGATCTGAACGAGACGCCACGACAATCTCTTCGTGGAATAATAATAATAAGACGATCACGTTCTAAGTCACAAGCTTCTCGAGTCACAATCGTGACTTTGAAATTAGTGCGTGCGCTCGAGCTCCGTGCACTTCAATTCTGCAATAAAAAAAGGACACATTTAGGAATATTTTAACTTTACTGAAGTGAATAGAATCAATCGTGTTCTGAAGTATGATATGAAAATATATGTGTGGTTTCAAAATGGATTTGATAGATCGGGACAAATGATTCCGAATCGATTCAACAATACAAAATTCCTCTATAGTTGTTTCGAGTCGTTAATGGAATAATTGATTTGAAGTCGCTAACAATTTTTATCGCGGGCGCCAATGAACGAAATTCTCGGGTTCTTTTGTAGGAACAAGTATTAAAACCATATTACAAATATTTTTTTTTTATAATTCTTTAAATATTCTGTGTTTTTATAATGATATATGGAAAAAAGTATCAATTCTCAGTCATTTTTCGATAATTATTTTTTCAGCAAATCTGAGTATTTTTGTGTCGTTTACAGTTGACAAACTCACTCCTGGAAAGACGCATCGGTTCAAGGTTTTTGCCAAGACTTTGACGAGCTTCCAAGTGTCGGAAGAAGTTTCCGTCACTCTCGAAGAACTGGATAAGAAAAAGGTCTGTATTTTCCATATATGGTATTTTATTGTGTCTTCCATTCCCAAGAAATCGTGCATGAAATTAAAATATTCCTTAACGAGGCAAAGTTTATAACTTTCACGACCGAACTTGGTCACTGATGAGTTGCAATTCTGCACCAGTTTTTTTCATCAACAATTGGAAATAACAAGAAACAAATACTAATTTTCTTCAAATGACAAATAAAAAAGAAAATAAATATTACAGTTTTTAGTTTGTTTTTATATCCGTTGTTTTGAATGATACTTGATTCTGTACTGATTTTGCCATGTAACATCTTTCTCCTACGTCTCTGTAAATGCAAATTTCAAAACAGTAATTTAATTAACTGTTGAAGAGTGACTTTAAGGACATGTATTTTAATAAAGGCGAATTGTTGAACTTTAGGCCGTGACTGCTGCTGTTGTCGGAGGAATGTTGCTCTGCATTGTTGCGATTATCTTGTCGGTCTTCACCGTTAAGATTTGCAACAAAAGAAAGAGAAAAAAGCAGGAAAAAGGTAAGAAGCTAGTAATGTAGTTATGAATATTCTGCATCGAGTTTCTATGTTTCTTATTTGCATTCAAAACTTATTTTTCAGATCTATTCTCAATAGTTTAAAACTTAAATCAGCTCGTTGATTGAATGTGTTATCTTAGAAGATATTTTTTGATATTATTAATTCTCTTGTTTTGGCACACAAGTCTCGACATTTTTTGAGCAATGGCTTCATATTTCTGATTAATGAACATTCAAATGTAGTTTAAAAGTCTATTTCTGAAGTTCAGATAAATACAATAAAAAAAGTCACTACTGAATGAAAGTACGTCATTTTGTTCTAATTTGAAATCAAAAAGCTACAAAGTTTCGAGTTCAAAATAACAGAAATTTTGGCTTTTCGATTTCAAATTAGAATTAAGTGAATAAAAAAGACGTAAAAGCCACAAAGTTTCGAGTTCAAAATAACAGAAACTTATCAAAATTTATTTTACTGCACGAAATCTGATTTTACCTGCATTTTTTGTAGATAATTTACGCAGTTTTTAAATTAAACGAAGGCATCAAATGATGAAATTTATAGCCTCGCGACTGATATGAATGCAAAACCCGGGATTCTTAGTATAATTTTGTTCATTAAAAATTGAAATTAACTACATTTATTTATTATTTGTTAATGATAATTCTTTGGCTTTACTTTGCTTTAGCTTATATGCAAATGTCAGGAAACTCTAGCTACTGGATTCTATTACATTCAGCTGTTGTTATTCTATGATGTCTTTCAATTGAGTCGTTGATTTATCTACTCGAAATCAATTGCACTAGACTTTTGATAATAAATTATAACCTATAATAAGTTCCTCGATTGCTATCAGTCCGATACGAAACTTGAAATAATATATAAAAAATTATCTTGCTATTAGAAATCTTGACGATATTTCTTCTAATTATAATTTATGATCGTCAATAATAGATAAGCTCTTCCAGCTCTTCATTGGTGATGGTCTTACTTTATTTTTCGGTTCTTTTTTTCGCTTGCCGCCGACACGCTGCGTTTCGTTATGGATGACGTTGGTGCCTGAACTCATACGCTCCTCTCAACAACACACGTCGCTAATTTCTGTTCTGGCTACTATTAATTATTCGTTGTCAATTTTTGTTACTATTTAATGAATTTTCTCAACAACACGCGTCGCTAATTCCTGTTCTGGCTTTCGTCAATCAATCGTTGTCAATTTTTGTTACTATTTAATTAATTTTCTCAACAACACGCTACGCTAATTTCTGTTCTGGCTTCCATCAATTAATCGTTGTCAATTTTTATTATTATTTAATTAATTTTCTTTTTCATACCCGAAATCCTAATTGTTCTTCTGTTTTCTATGGGCATTCCTCATGCTCTTCGTTTTACACGTCACATCCATCATACTCCCTTTATTATACGGGACTACTGCTATGCTTTTCTGTTTTATACGTCACATACACTTTGCTTCTTTATTTTATACCTGGCTTTCAATCTGTTTTTTTTTTCTAATACGCTCCATCCATTATGCCTCTGTTTTAAATACAATGTATATCTGTCGTTCGTTCCCATTTGACTTCCACTAAACTCCTGGACATTGCGCGAATATCACTATCACCATTTACAAATGTCCTCTTATCTTCATCGTCTTGCACTTCATCACCTTTTATCCTCGTCGGTTTTATTCTGTCATTCTTATTTTATTATTTTATTCACTTAATTTGTACACAATTTAATTTCAAATGTTATGTTGCATGTGCCAATTTTTGTGCCCTGATGCTGCATAATTCGGCTGTGGTTCTACTACTCGTACTTTATACATTTCTTCTCGTACGTTTTTGCTGAGCCAACCATTTATGACCAATCACACTGGTATTTTTTTGTTTTTTTTTTTTCGGATGACTCAAATTTTTTATCTCAAAATTTCTCGTAATGCACCCTCTGTAACACTCGCTTGTATTTTCCACGTATATTTGCTCACTCCGATGGTGTTTATACCTTCATTGATATCAATTGCTCGCCGCGATGTTTTTGCTTGATTCATTTTTTTAAAATAATGTTATTGTCCTGGTTATAACATTTTTCTTTCTTATTTTATTTTCTACCGTTCTCGTTTTGAATACATTTTTCTTCGCGTTGCCTATCAAAACTACTTAACTGGAAAATGTTCAAGAAAACATTTTTCTTTACTAACTTGTATGAACCCGACGATGTGAAACTGATGCCCTCGCTCATGCTTATGTCTTTTATTTTTCATAAATAAATCTTTATTATAATAAATTTCCAATCTATCGAATATGTCGATTGTTGGCATAAAATAACTGATTCATCTTTTTAATCACTGTTGTACGCTTATGCAATGTATCTATCGATGTGCTGAAATATTCTTGTGAATTATTTGTATTGTTCTCGTATTCTGACCCGAAAAACCACCTGTTCACATCCGTCCTTGCTTTCATCTGATCATTATATGATTCTTTTGATCTAATTTCTGTAACAATTTACAAAAATTCTCCACAAATTTTTCTATGAACATGGTATATTCTTTGTTATTTGTATCGTCACTGTACACCGTCACGCATAAACCTTCAATTGATACTGGTTCAAATCTTAAAATCACAACTGATTTTTCTCTTTATTTCGTTTCCCTGCATGCTAATTCAAATGAGTAATGGTTTGCACACATTCTTTCCGTTAACACAATTGGCTAAAACTAACCTGAGGTTCGTTCGTAAATTCTTCAAAAACTCAATCTTTTTCGTTCATTTCACTGTTGACTTTAATTGTTGACACCTTCATGTCTTCAACCGCCGCTGAGCAAATTAAAAATCTCTATAATGATTTCAATCAATATATTAACTACCTCAATTATCTATACTAACTGTCTCAATTAATAATACTAACTGTCTGCTAACTGCAAAATTCTATCCTCAAAACGATTTCCGACTCGAATCCGTTTTCTAATTTTGACTTGATTCTGTTTGCTAAATCTCTCCCATTCCTGCTTTCGAAACGACATTTTTGGTTGTATCATTGTGCTATTATTTCCTCCCTTTTGGTGTGTATCACGCTGCGAGTTCCATTAGAATTGCAATCGCACATTTTCTATGACACAGCCTACAACATGGTGGCTTGCCGTGTGTCCGAGACGAGAAACGGAGGCTACAGAGGAAGCGCAGTCCCTCTTAAAAAGTAAGTCTCATCTCGCTGGTTAGCTGTAAAAGATTTGTATTGCAATGATACTTGCTATAAAAATACAAGTATAATAACGTAAGTTAAGGTAATGCAGGTGTTATAATATAGTAAACGTACTATGTTGAAGTTTTTATACTGCCGGTGAAACCACTGATATAAAGAAGTTTTTGACAGAGCTGGGCAATGAATAAGTTAATCGAGTTTTGTTGTGAGAAGTAAATAAATGGAAATGCTCATGAAAATGTTCGATATTCAGAATAGACTCGTTTGTGCCATTTTAATAACGTTATTTTGCATAAATTTTCCAGAATAAACGTACAATGCTGTAGACATGACGAAATGACAATTCGTTTTGGTTACTTACTTAAAATAACTCGGGATGAAGATTACTTCAAAAGAATGGAACTCTTGGAAAAAAATTGGAGACGCGCTGAAGCTTCATTTTTGTTGCTAAAGTTCAGTTTATGAATTAGGGAAAGTTTTTAAGCCTGTTATAAGTTTAATTTTTACAAATATTGCCCAGCTCTGTTTCTGAGGATGAATGCTCTATCCATAAACATTTTTCATGTGTAGGAGAGTAGCTAACATGTCAATTGTTGAAAAACATGTACTGTATTTTTGATTACTAACATGTCAATCGCTAACATGAGTTGCATAAGGTTGTAGTAGGGTTCTTTTATGATCACTGATGTATTTCACTGCCATCCTTCACCACGCATGAAAAATTAGCCAATAAATAATATTTTCTACGGCCAACAAATAATGAATATTCTAATATTATTTAAGGCTAATAAATATTGACATCGCTATTTTCTTAATCTTGATCGATGCAAGCCTCGGTCAACCTTAGCGGCGCCCGCTTTACTGACTCTAATATTGCGCTGTAACTAACGGCCTCATTTCAATAATAATAATTAAACTATGCGGTACGCGAGAAATTCATAATTTTTGGGATTTCTGAGAATTACTGTGGTCCCTTTTTGATAGCAATAATATAAAAAAGTAACTTTTTCAAACATTTCTAAATTGGCCATAAGCAAAGTTCACATTTCAGTTCGACCGCCAAAACTAGCCTGTTTATACGAAGTCATAATCGCCTGTTAAATAAAACATCTTTGTAAAAAATGCACTGCTAAATCATGCACTTTTATACATAAATTACCCCCAAAAGACGTAGAAAAATTGAACGAAGGTAAAAAATGGACGTTTCTGAATTTTAAAGCCTTAATTTTTCACATTTCCTTCAGGTCAGAAATGTATTGCATCTGGTTGAGTAAGAATTGTATTAAAAGTGAAGCCTTTTTTTATACCGTTTATACCGGCGATTAAAATTAATTTCAGCTTTGTCATTAATATTCTTGAACCTCATTGAACTTATGTGGTAAAACTGAGAGTTTTAATTAAAACAATTGACATTTATTGATGCTATTCAACATTTACAGTTTTTCAGTTTCAATATCATGAAAGTGCGATACATAATCAAAGTTAATCTCCTATCTTAATAGAAAAATCCTACGAAACCTCAAACCCTCACGACGAATTTCTGATTTTAATTTCTACCCGTCGACCGATGTTCCTACAGCGGCTCCGACTGAAATCACTGAATGATAACTAAGAGTAAATAAACCAACAGCTCATAATTTACGTGATCTGTAATGGATTCAATCTTAAAAGTCTCAGTTCGACGGTTTGCGAATATTTATTGACAAGTAATAAAGCTTATGGTTGGCACGCAAGCCCTGCAGCCGAGAGCGTAGTGTTTGTGGCCCGGACTGGATGTTGCAGTCCTCGTTGCAGCCGAGCCGCTCAAGACCTCCTCCATGTCACACCAGATTTTGTCTAAAATTTGTACTGCGACTTGAAATGGAAGGGGGTGAGGGACAGCTGAGTCGTTAATCTGGAGAACTGTTACTTCTCTTGTTGAAAAATTTCCGTTAGTCACGAACAAAACACTTTCACTAAGTTAACACCCTGCAATGGCATGAGTGTTCGAGTTGATCACATTTGCGTTCTGGCGGTCCATGATAGCACGAATGCTTCATTTCACGTTCGTATGTCTTTTGATTCAGGGTCTTCTTCAGGATTTCACATCATTCAAATTATAGCCTATTACTTCATATATTGTAATGTTCACTGTTCCATACCTCATACAACCTGATGCAATGAATGAAAAACCTCTTACGTTGATGAAAATTTTAACCGTTTTTTTTATCTCTCCTCGACGTGTTTTCTGATGCTTCGCACTCCACCCTCTGCGTTCGTCGGTTACGCTCCTTTCTGATCAATCACAATATTATTCATTATACTACTAGTGATATCTAACTATACATCTATCTTCTGAAAAATGTAAATGTCAACCTTCTCGTTCCTCCTCGTACCTATCCCTCTATTATTTCCTTCATTCTCATTACCTTCCATATCCTGGGTATTGGAGTGCCTATTTACCGTTAAATCCTATCCTGTATTGGTCCTGTGTCATATCTTATCTGTTGCCCGCCAATTACTTTCCCACCGATGCACCCACACTTTGTACCACCAAAACCACACACGCTGAAATCTGCACTCCGAATCTTCCCGTTCGAGTGGCACCGCGTCCTGTCTCTTTCATTTGACATCGGCAACAATTACTCGTGTGGCCATCTTTCTTCACTAAACGCACACGCACGATACTTCCATGCTGATTGAAAAACAAAGTTCGCCGACCAGAAAGAAGGAAGCTCCAGGTGACGTCCTAGCAACTCACTCCATCTAATCGTGGTGTCTACCTCAGTAGCTTCTCAGCAGCCATCATAGAAGTAAATAATAAAGACTTGCTTTTGTTCGCGTTCAGTCTCAGGATTTTCCAACTAATTCTATTCATTGAGTTCTTTTGAGTTTTTGTATTCATGATGCGATATTGAACTACTCTGTGAGTTTGTTTTGCTGTATTTCCGCGAGACGTTTTTCGATTTCACCTATTGAAACTGATAGAACAAAATCTCCGCTCTGAATTTTACCTATGACGAGTTTAAACCTGAAAAGTACCACTTTACATATTACAAATTATTTCAATATATTTTCGTACGTTTTTCTTGATTTTGTTGTTTATGGGGTATTTTTCTAAATTAAATTTGCTGTGGTTGGTGTCACTGATTGCGCACTGGCGCGCTCCACCCAAGCACGCCTTCGTAAAAAAACAAGTATTTCTTCGTTCAACTATTTTTGATAAGCCTCAACTGGTTCTTCTGTTACTTTCTCTGTAATGAAATTATTTTTAATTTCAATCTAATCACTCTTACTGCACGAATATAAGAAAAGCTATCTTTCTTTAGCAATCCATGTTTCTAATGAATTTATTGTCATGGAATTTTTTTCATGTGAAATAGTGAAACAAAGAACTCTATCTGCTGAATTTGTGTTTGTAGTGTTTGATAAAACTAATTTTCTAATCTATTTCTTGATGTGCTTAACAGGCTATTGCGGTGCAGAATATCGAGTGTAAAAGAATTTAGGGTTTGGCTTGCGGAACTACTTCTTGGTGGCGAACTTCTGGATACTATCGATGGAAAAACTCTAAAATCAGGCACTACCTCTCTAGATTCCGACTCATACAGACAATACGGAGTGGATCATAGAAGAAAATTTTCAAAGGACGCCCAATACTCGGTTCATGCGGATTTCCGTCAAACGCCTCTCCCGGAAATTTCTCGGTCAGATGAGGGCAAGTTTATCCTTGATAAAGAGAGCGAAGAGGGAGGGTTTACTTCTCCTCGGCGGCCTACAAGAGGACTTCGAGGCCCACGAAATTTCCGAGAGTGGACTTCACCTCCAGAAGCTGGATGGACCAATGCCGTTTCAGGTGTTGAAAGTGGAGTGTATCGCGTCAGGCGGGGAACAACACATTTTCATCCGGCAGCTTCCGAATCTCATCTTATGACAGCTAGGTCAGATGGATCTGGCGCGAGTACATATGAAGTTCCTCGAAGTACATTCCGGTCACCTGCAATTTATGAAAATTCGCTCGTTGCGCGAAGGCATCGTAGAAGTCCGTACTTCTTGCAACCTTACTCAGCGCAATTTGGACAGTATATAATTCCGCAATCCCCAACTGGTCCTGTATTGTCTCCTAAAGGTAGACTTAGATCATCCTCACCTGGTCCCCTCTCAACTCAGTGGAGACAACTTGCACAATTAGCTTCCTTCAATGAAGTCAGTTCGGTAAAACAGCCTTCCAGTGTTGAACGATCGTTTCCCTCAACCCTCATATCATCATTTCACAATTCCAATCACCGTAGTCCTTCAATACGTGGAATATCAAGTGACGGCATGTCCTCGTTTTTCCAGTTTGCAAGTTACTCACCTTACGGTAAAGAGCTTCCTGTGCTTTCTCCTCTTTATAGATACCCTGACACTCGGACTTTTCATGTGGTTGGAGCTCAAGTCCACGAACCTCCTACGCCACAGTTCCGTTCTCGGCCTACATATCACCCTTACTACCTCCCTACTCCGAGATATTCTCCTTGGGGAACACCACAAGGAGTCTTCTATGATAGACGTTTTGAATGGATGTCTCCTCATCAAGCCGATATGATGAGCCAACGTACTGTTCTTGATTCTGGACAGCACGTTCATCAGCTACCGCCACCCAGTATTTTATCTCCATACGCGCGCCATCCTGATTCATCTCTTCACTATGTTAATCTTCCTCCGATGAGAAGACCTCGAGCTTTTCAGCAACCTCTTCCCATCAGAGTTCCACCCCATTTTTTGCTCAATCCGCTTCCACGTCCTGAAAATCAAAAGCCTTTAGCTACGAGCTCACCACCAAGACTTCGCCCCAGGATGAGGAGTTCCGAAAGAGATTTGTATCCATCAGGTCATGTTTTATCTCGGCAGCCTCGTGTTGTACCAGAGTATGCCAATCATAATTTCAGAGAAGATCGCGATGAATCGAAGTTTCTTGTACCTTCAAAAATTATCAAGCATCCGGAGCTCCTGGGGTATCGAGATGGCGGCAGCAGCAGAATTAGGCATCATAGTGCACCCGATCTCAACACGTCTCGAGATTTCAAGGACCATACAACTAAACCTAAATTACACTCTGGTCGACCTCGACGACATGGCGATAGGTCACGTAGCCATGATGTGTCATATGATTTATCTCACGAATTTTCTCACGATCAATCTCCCGATTCCTCTAGTGGTTTTGGAAGCAAAAATACTTCCCATCAACAGAGTTCTTCTCAGTCAGGTCAATCTTTGTCAGCACTTGGTCTTGACACTTCCCGCATTTCTGAAAATTCCATCAAGGCCTTTGGACCTACCGATCAAAGATGGGAATCGCGTCGCCCTGGCATCGGCGCTCAGATGTGGCCTCCTCCAAGACTTCCTCCTTCTTACGAGCAGTGGCTTGCGCGACAAATGCAACCTCAATTCAGAGTTCCTAGTGAACACTTCAATTTTAAAGAAAACGATGAACGTAATGACCTAGTTTATTTGCGTAGAACTGATTCCAGTGTTGTTCCAAGAAATCCTATAATGGATGTTGCTCACTCACATCCAATCGTTAGCGAATTGGAAAACGATGTTTTTGATAGTGTAGATGAAGTTGATAGAACAGTAACAAATACAACTTCAGTCGCTACTTTAGACGTTAGTGTAGATGATCATTATGAATTTGACACAATGCTGAGTCCTACTCCTATTGACGAAACTCTGATGCCTGCTAGCGGCGAATGGAGCAGTGGAGGTAGTGCAGGAAACGGCAATAGTTTACGCCGGTTAAGCGATTCTGAATTGTATGGGACAGGTTCATCCTTCGGCGACCGAAGGAGAAGGTCCCAGGAAAGCATGGAGGAGAGAGTGGCTGCCATGAAGCAGGAGTTTATGGAGTACAGACGCAGGCAGGCTCGGAGGTCTGAGACGCAGCTCGAAAGTATTTGCTGAACTTTTCGAAGATGCGAATTTTCTTCAATAACTAATGTCTGACGCAAATAAGTCACTATCCTGGAGACGGCAATAACAAAAACTTTACTGCTGTGAGTGTTGAGATGTAAATGAAATTTTTCATTCTGTTTGAAGTACTTTAACCAAAATGCACATGTTTTCATTATTGCCGTGCTATTCATACCTCAAGTATATTCACTGAAATCAACTTGACTACTGTATTAAATCATTTTCCCTCAAACATTTAATTGGATTGGGAAGTGAGTTATCTAGCTTAATTTCCTTTCAGTGTGTGCATTGAACACCACTTGAATGCGTTCGATTTTTCCCTGAAAAGAGCTACAACTCGTACATTATTTTATTTCAAGACGCGTTGTCCAATAAGCTTAATATTTATGATTTAATTTAGGTACGTTATGCTTTAATTTAAAAGAGATTTTTCTATCACTGCCCTTTATTGTCATCGTGAGAGGATGATAAATTTTTAGTCAACATGTTCTTACCATATCAACGAACTTTAGTACGGTTTTTGTTATTATTTACGAAAGTATTTAATGTTGTGTTATCGATATTGATAGAAAGATCGATATATTTATGCTTTAATTTAAAAGAGATTTTTCTATCACTGCCCTTTATTGTCATCGTGAGAGGATGATAAATTTTTAGTCAACATGTTCTTACCATATCAGCGAACTTTAGTACGGTTTTTGTTATTATTTACGAAAGTATTTAATGTTGTGTTATCGATATTGATAGAAATATCGATATATTGATATCGATCTTTGTACAAAAAATAACTTGTTTAAGTTCGTCATGAAAATTTTAGTTTTAAGCGTTATTTTTTCCTTCATTATTTGCTGATTGGCACTACTACATTGCCGTTGGAAATTGTACATGACAGTGAAGGTATTATTTGATCGAGGTCAGTAGATCGTAAACCTGGTGAATTGATATCAAGTGTACATAAAATTGATGTTACATATTTGCTCTGATAATGTATTTGTGGTCGTAGCTGCGCATGCAATGCTGCACGATGAGTTGGGCGTAGGTCTTGAAATTCAATGCCTGCAGCAACAAAATTTAGAGCCGTGCAAGCTTCTGATGACCAGTATCGGTAGCTAAGGCGACCCAAATCGGAAGCTGAGGCGACCCAAATCGGAAGCTGAGGCGACCCAAATCGGAAGCTGAGGCGACCCAAATCGGAAGCTGAGGCGACCCAAATCGGAGGCTGAGGCGGCCCTTAATTTCGTTCGGGTAGCCAGCCAGCCTGCCTGCCTTCGCAAGCAGCAAGACTATCGCCCAGCATGCACGCAAGGCATGCGAGGCAAGTGCGCGCGCGCGTTCTGGTGTAAATGTTGAGTTCATCGAACCCTTATTCTGGGCCTAGAGTGTTGTCGATCATCGTGTACGGTTCATCGTTTGCTATACAAGAATTGCGTTGATGTTATAAGTTAGCATAGAGAGATTTCGTATTTCTAGTTCTCTGAATACTCTCATCTTCTTTCAACACATCTATTTCATTCCCATTTTGGGAACAAGAGATACACATTCCAACTATTACTATTTTCTAATACGATTATAAATTTATTGTACTATTAATGTATTACTTACTATTCGGTATTATGCTTTTGAGCAGTCTTGTACAAAACCGATTGTTTTTGAGCATTTGGAAGTTATGGTGAACAAAATTCGCAAGCAAAAACTGCGCGTTAGATTAGAAGCCCCAAAAAAACCGTTAGAATTCCCCACTATTCGAAAAATTCTGTGTAACATTAATTTGCGATACGACGCATTTTTTATTCACTTTTCGCTTTACTTTCTTCTGCAATTTTGCAGATGAAAGGTTGCATCATACGTTGTTGTGTAAACACATCTTTCATTGTTTTCTGCCTCAAAATCCATTTTGCCGAAGTCATGACAATTTTTTTATTTGGCTAATTCCTCTTCTCTGGTTTTGATTTCGGTTGAAGTATAAAAGTTTTTTCTGCTCAACATTCATTTTATTGTTCGACAACGAGAAAAAATTATTGATTGAATGCACCTTACAGTACATGAGATTGCAGGCTTTCACCCCATTACCTTCATAACTATGAAAAATTTACTGTAATGTACATAGCTCTTTGGATTTAAAGTACAGTGATTTTAGAAGCTAGGAAAATGTATTCGATGCTATAAAGCGGACTATCTAGAGTCATCCTGACGTTTCAATGGGTCATTTTAAGACGGTTTGTTACTTCGTGAGTGCGTCAACCGTTCGTTAGCTCACTTGCTACAATACCAATAATTAGATTATATCTAGGAGAGCGCGTGGGCGTTCCCTAGTTTTCCTAGATAGTGAAGTGTAGTTCTAACTGGATTATGAAAACTTTCTCAATTATTCTAAGCGTAATCTTGTAAGTGAACGTAGCGAAGTTCAGAGGATTGAGCCACGGTGCTGCTATTCTCTTGCTAATGTGCAGTTGCAGTCGCGTTACTCATCGGTGTAATGAAAAATACTTTCATAAGTCGAGTGTGTATTGTACAACTCATAACTAATGCACTGATCATTCCAGTTTTATGTCTGTCTATTTTCGAATTAATTATTCATTTGTCGAATTTCGTTTCTCTGTTAACATGCTATCGGTTAAAAAAATGGAGTGTGTCTTAAGATCTGCAACGAGTCTGCAACAGCGCGTGACCATTTAAATCGATGAACTGTCTTCAGAAAAATGATTTTGTCTGATTATAAATAGTAAATTAATCTAAAATTTTTCAATAACCGATTGTATGAAACTGATGAAACCAAACATCATTCCGTTCGTTTTTCTCAAATAATTATAATTTTTAAGAATATAATTGTTGCTTGTATTTTGGGGATATAACTCTCATTATTTATAATAGAGATCTCCATTATATATAATGGAGATCTCCATTATATATAATGGAGATGCTTCGTGATTTTGCATCGCGTGTCGTGAACGTTGAGTTCAATCACTTTTTGTACCTGACAACACCACTGAAGTTCTGTTTTTTGTATTGGCATCTATCTTTTATATAACCGTGATTTAAATCTATCCTTGACTGTGAAGAGACTCGGTTGTTCCTATTGAAGGGCTATTATTGAATTAATTGTTCGCTATTTGTAAGTTCTCTTTGTTTTGAGATTCTCAAACTGTTTGTGATCTAAGATTGCAGAAACTTCTCAGATTATTATGTCCAATGAGGTATAGGTATTAAAATGTAAAAATATCTTACGATGAGTAATTGCTATATTAAAACGACATCAAATTAAATTACTCGCGCAGTCGACTCACATTGTTAAGCAAGTATCGTTTCGGTAACAGTTTGGAAAATTTGAATATACATTCGGTTTTAAAAACTACAATAATTCGCTCATAATGCCCTGTCCTCCTGCTAGTAAGAACATTTGAAATGTTCGTTATTTTTCAACTATCATTATTTATTTGCATTGCATTGGAGGCTAGGTGATAATATGTGAAGAATGGAAGTCAATATACAACGATCGAGTTGCTGTTTTCTTTATTATCCTTAATACGTGCTAAATTTCTGTGTTCAAGCTCACAGTAATTTTGTCGCATTGTTCGCTAGAATTTTCTACTTGCAACAATGTATAGAATAATAAACGCACTCTAGATCTCTCTAGAATGTATATGATTCTTCTAGAATTCTGTAACTGCTAAAAATTTTCGCAAATAGTAAGATTCAGGCCGCTTTTTGCGATTCTCTTAAAAGAAAACATACATTTCTGTTTTGCTCTCCTAACGCATTTATACATCAAGCCTTCGAACAACCCCACATGAATATTTAAAATTCTAAATGAGTTTCTGAACCATTCTTATATATTAGAAGAACATGTTACTCTGATTACATTTTTGAAATTGTATATTCAATTCATTAAAAGGCTAAAATTTTATAGATTCCTATAATTATGTGATTAAAATGTTGCAAGGTTGCCTTAGGATAATTAATGAGCAACGAAAATTACATGACACGGGAAACTCGTCGGTTTCATGATTCCGGTACAAAAAGGACTTATATGTTGCTGGGTGAAATATAATAACATCGTTAAAATTACACAGAAATTAACGTGAGCAGTTCGGCAACGCTCTAAAATATAAAATATGAAGCAGTGATAAAGCATATTAAGAATGATCACATTATACTCATAGATAATGCAGGAACAATTTTAGGTCACAGCCTAATCAATTGCTTTTGTAAACTATAGTATTAAAAATATGAAGTGATATTTTTTTGGTTTTTAAACCGCATCAAACCCATTTGCACGTTTACAAATGAAGCGCGCCCAGTCAAATTTTAGTAGCAATAAATTCATAAAATCTTAATAATTCCAAAAGAATCTATGAATTATTACTAGATTGTGATCTCGTTAACTTGGAAAAGCTCAACCATAAAAGCGGGAAAGCGCGAACTTTTCATTAAGTGTTAAGAGGAACATGTCAGTTCCGAGTTTAACCCTTCACTACAACTATATAGCAATAGAAAAATAAATTCTCTTCGAAGAAGTTATCATGTAAAAATTATCTAAAACTATCTAAAATCATCAACAATAACATGATTAATTATGCAGTAGATTAAATCGATGTTCTCATGATTACTGAGAAGCTGGCAAGAACAGAACAGAGCTGACCGTATCGCTATGACCGAGAGTGGTCCATTGGCATCAGCTCCATGCCGACAAGTCGGTCGTCCTCGCATACGAACTCTCGTCTGCAATAAAATAGAACCAAAATAGGATTTAGCTTCGTTAAATCATTACAATTTTAGATAATTAAATACTGTTTCATAGATGTATTTATTTCAACCCAATTCTGAAACGTACCAGCAATTTAGCTTCATACAAAAAACATTCGAGAACATAATAAGTTTGTTGTAAAAAAGCAAGAAGCATGGTTCTATCCTATGGTGGGGGATTAAAATAGGTCAACCGGGATTTTCCATTATAATTCCCATGCCATTAATTTTTGCAATTCATCCAGTTCTGTACGTTCAGGGTCGGTGAGGACTAAGGGACTTATTCAGGGTCGGTGAAGACTAAGGTACTGACTCAGGGTCGGTGAAGACTAAGGGACTGACTCAGGGTCTGTAAGGACTAAGGGACTGACCCCGGGTCTGTAAGGACTAAGGGACTGACCCCGGGTCTGTAAGGACTAAGGGACTGACCCCGGGTCGGTAAGGTGGCTGATGGTGTCTGGTAGGACGGAAGGCGTGGCCGGCAGCAGCAGCGCGACCAGCGCTGCCAGCAGACACGCCGCAGAGCAGACCAGGGGCTTAGCGCTCAGCTGCAGACTCTGCAGGTCCAGGCTGTCCTGTGGACGATAATTCAATTAAAAATAACCAGCAAAATCTGTGGGTCTGAACTTTGTTATGAGCGACTGTAATTATGCAAACAATACAGCTGGGCTCCAGCACTAACCATGAGGTGGCAGTAGGGCCCAGAAGCAGCATAACCCAGCACAGCCCAGGTCCAGGTGAAGGCCCAGACGGTCCCGCGCGAGTGTGTTGGCGTGAGACGCCACATGGCGAGCACCAGTGCCACGCCAGCCGCCACAGCCACGCCGTGGCTCAGCACTGACAGCATCACGTCGCCCACGCACGTCTCCACGTTCGCTGTCACGTAAATACAAAAAAACATTAATCGTAAATTCGATTAAAAAAATCACGTTTGCTGGATTGTATGGAGTAAATTGTGAAGGAAAGTTCACCAGGAAATGTAAATTATTCACGCACGTCTCCACGTTCGCTGTCACGTTAATACAAAAAATATATATAACTCAGTACTCACTGCAGTGAGTGACAGAGAGCGCATTTTCTCGTCGACGAAAACGTGAAGTCACGGACGGACAGACGGATGGACGGACATGGCGAGCACAATAGTGCATTTTTTGCATAAATGAGAAAATGCGCTACAAACAGTAATCGAAAATTAAACTAAAGAAATCGCGTTTGCTGATGTGGTCAGTGTGATAACGGAGTGTATGATGGACTAGATTGTGAAGGAAAGTTCACGAGGAAATGCACATTGTTCACGCACGTTCCAACGTTGTATTTCAGGAATAAAAAATGAATTTTTATTTTACATAACCTAAGTCAAGATATTTATTTTCATGTCAACAGATTTCTGTCGTGATATGAATATCCACCTTTTTATCTCCAAGTTTCGGATAAATTTGAAACGGAAAAGTTTATACAGGAGGCTTTGGTATGCAGAGCTGGGCAGCGCTACTTGGATATGTAGCGGTGCTACCGCTACAACTACATGCTCTAAATGTAGCGGGCGCTACCGCTACCGCTACAGTAAAATGTAGCGCGCTACATTAGCCGCTACAATGGCCAATATTATTGGAAATCTCTAAATAGTTATTGTTCTGCTCTTGGGATTTACTCATTAACATTTAATGATAATAAAACATTTTTAAAACATATCAATGCAACTTTATTGCAATTAACTTAACCGAACTAGTATGAGTACAGCCCAGGTCCAGGTGAAGGCCCAGACGGTCCCGCGCGAGTGTGTTGGCGTGAGACGCCACATGGCGAGCACCAGCGCCACACCAGCAGCCACAGCCACGCCGTGGCTCAGCACTGACAGCATCACGTCGCCCACGCACGTCTCCACGTTCGCTGTCACGCAAATAAAAAAAATATAACTCAGTACTCACTGCAGTGAGTGACTGAGCGCATTTTCCCGTCAACGAAAACGTGAAGTCACGGACGGACAGACAGACGGACATGGCGAGTAAAATAGTGCATTTTTTCCATAAATGAGAAAATGCGCTAAAAACAGTTATCGTAAATTTGATTAAAAAATCATGTTTGCTGGATTGTATGGAGTAGATTGTGAAGGAAAGTTCACCAGGAAATATACATTATTCACGCACGTTCCACCGTTTTATTTCATGAATAAAAAATGAATAACATACCACATAGCCTAAGTCAAGAGATTTCTGCCGCGATAGGAATATCCACCTTTTTTCTCTCTAAGTTCTGCATAAACTTGAAACGGAAAAGTTTCTACAGGAGGCTTGGATGCGATACCCTCAAAAAAATTATTGAGGACCTAAACCCTAACATGGACAGATAGTCTAAGTCAATGAACAAGTTTTAACATTGAAATTAACTGTTCATAAAATAGCATTGCAAACAGTATAATGAAACAAATATGTCAATAAGATAATATAATAAAATAAGATAATATAATAATATATATGTCGATAAGATAATAGACATAATAGTAATAAACAGCGTTCGTAATATGTAATGTAATATGTAATATACACAATAGTACGAGTAATAAACAGCGTTCACTGACTGGCTTGAGCATTCAATAATGTAATATACACAACAGCACGAGATAAACAGCGTTCACTGACTGGCTTGAGTGAGGGTAGCGAGGGAAGTCGTGGCCGCGAGAACCACGAGAGTGAGGGAAAGCATGGGCCGAGCGTTGATTCTACCCATAGTGAGGGCAAACCCAACCAACACAACCAACTCCACGGCACCGTACGCCACACTTCGATCAGCCAGACTGCAACCATTCAAATAAAACAAAATGAAGTTAACCAATAATGACTCAAGTCCATCTACAATCTATTTTGGTTTAACAAATTTTTTTGACAACAACAATTTTTTTGCAACAATATTTTAGGTAAAAACGTTTGACATAAGGAACATGATCGACTGTAAGAAATATTGCGCTATCGACAGCACAATTGGCGATCTTTAAATATCTGCATCGATGGTATTAAACGCGCATATTTTTGTACAAGAATGAATTTCTAAATAGAGACACGCGTTGTTAACCTTATTAAATCATCATCTGTGCAAGGGTAACGAGATAGGTTTAAATAACACCAAAAGTAAGTTTATTTAAAAAGTAGGTTCAAGTAAAGAAAAAGTAGGTTCAAGTAAAGAAAAAGTAGGTTCAAGTAAAAAAATGTAGGTTCAAGTAAAAAGAAAGTAGGTTCAAGTAAAAAAATGTACGTTCAAGTAAAGATAAAGTAGGTTCAAATACAGAAAAAGTAGGTTCAATAAAGGAAAAATTAGGTTCAAATAAAGAAAAAAGTAGGTTCAAGTAAACAAAAAGTAGGTTAAAATAAAGTTACAAGTAGTTTTAATGAAAAAGTAGGATTGAGGTAGTGCACGCGACCTGTTGTAAGGCGAGGGCTCGACGATGAGCCTCGTGCCGACGGTGATGCCGTAGACGAGGGCACAGAGAGCTGACACCAGCAGCACGCGCAGCAGCCTGACGTTCCTGACGAGGGGCAACACTGCGCGCGACAGCGACGACTGACCACACCCAACTGACATCAGGCATCGCTCCATCTGGGCAGGTGGTTCTTTGTTATATATATAGCGGCACCAACTGACATCAGGCATCGCTCCATCTGTGCAGGTGGTTCTTGGTAATATGGTTATACATATGGCGGCACCAACTGACATCAGGCATCGCTCCATCTGTGCTGGTGGTTCTTGGTAATATGGTTATACATATGGCGGCACCAACTGACATCAGACACCGCTCCATCTGTGCAGGTGGTTCTTGGTAATATGGTTATACAAACGGCGGCACCAACTGACATCAGACATCGCTCCATCTGTGCAGGTGATTCTTGGTAATATGATCGTTTACATGGCGGTTGAACTCAGGGTCAGGGAGATTGAATGGTGCAATCACCAACACGTGGTTATGGTTAATATTTCTACACAACATTTTTCAGCCTTAATAAAATAGAATAATCGTCTAAGGTCTAATGGCTCCAAAAAGAAAATTTTGTACCGAATTAATAATTTGAGTGAAATTTCACTTTTTGTGATGCGGTAATTTGTGCACTCAGAGACGTAGTAACAGCTATATCATGTGTAGAAATTGGCTAACACATGAAGAAAATGATGGAAAATTGGAAATACATTATTAGTTGTTATTAGCATATACTGCATTACAATAAATAATGGACTTATCGAAAACCCATTCAATCTTATAAGAGGCATGTCTATACGATGAATCTACTTAGATAAAGATATAAATAAAGAAAGATAAGAGATAGAGATAAATAAAGAAAAAGTCCCCATGAGATAAATAAAGCCGTTGCAAACCTCGCCCTTAAGAGCTCTGTCTTCTTAAAAAATTAGCTGAGAAAAAGTTCCCATGAGGTAAATAAAGCAGTTACAAACCTCGCCCTTGAGAGCTCTGAGCTTGGGCTTCATGACGTCATCGAGGGCGACGTTGTGCGACATCGGCAGCACGAAGCCAGCGTCGTCCCAGCGTCGCGTGGTCAGCATCCATCGGGCGCTCTCCGGTAGCCAGCTGTGCAAATATACAACTAACTTTAGTGTAGTTCGGTAGAAGCTTCCCTTTTTCCTCTTTAAATTTTCAGAAGCTTCTTTTTTTATTCTCTTCTTCTCCCTTTTTTTATTTTTATATACTACTTTATGCATGGTTTTATTAAAGACCAGAGAATTCGTTTTATTGACAATTTTCGTATTCGTTTTTTAAACATGCCGAATGCTACCTATTTTTCGTTTGCATGTATTATTGCATGTATTACGATATTATCCATCTGGCGCTCTCGGGCAGCCAGCTGTGCAAACATACAACTTTGATTTTCGATTTACCAGTGCAAACGAAAAATATTGTTCGATCTATTGAAAAACTAATAAGAAAATTGTCAATAAAACGAATTCTCTGGTCTTCAATGAAACCTGCTTAAAGGAACAGCTTTTGCCTACCTATACTAACATGCAACTTTATGAATGGTTTCATTAAAGATCAAAGAATTCGTTTTATTGACAATTTTCGTATTCGTTTTTTAAACATATCGAATGCTACCTATTTTTCGTTTGCACTGGTAAATCGAAAATCATGGTACCGATGGATATTTTTATTTCGTTAACAATCAATAAAACAAATTCACTTGTCTTCAATGAAATCTGCTTAAATGAACAAATTCTGCCAACTTATATACTAACACACCTACAACTTTATGCATAATTTACGTCAAATTGGCTTACTTGTCGAATTACTCAAATTTTAGAAATATCAGAAGGGGTTTGGAGAGAAATTTGTAACTCTAGGCATGGTCGAGTACCGTTAGGAACGTTCACTTATACCGGAGCAGGGAGTCTGGGCTCGAGACCCGCAACTTGCTGTGACAATTCTGTTCTAAATATGGCCGGGTGGTTCAGAATCGGTAACGGGCCAACAAGGACTCATTGATACTGACACCAGTATATTATATATTACAATATAAATGTACAGCAATTTTATTTGTTTGTTCAATTTGTAATAATCAGAAGATAAATTAAATCTTATGGAGATGTTCTACCATAGTTTTGATAGTCATATTTAAATTTCAATCGAATCTTGATAAAAAATATTAAGATAAAGGCATTCGAAGGCTTTGGTTTAGGCTTTCACCTAAAACCATGCTGCTTCAGTAATATAAACTGAAATAACATATCCTTGCAACTCAATAGCCTCGCGGCTCGACGCAAAGAATCATGCTAATTGAATAAAAATATGACAACTAAACAAAATTGCCACATGTCACACCACAAAAAAATCATGCCACTTAAATGATAAATTAATAATACCATGAAACACGACATCTAAATAAAATTGCCGTAACTCTAGCTAAAAAAATTGCCGCTTAAATTTATAATAATATCGTTAAACACCTAAATCACATAAAACATCTAAATAAAATTTCCGTAGCTCTAGTTAACAAAAATGTGCTGCTTAAATTAAAAACTATCATAAAAACACGAAACTATATTAAAATGTAACTAGCATGCGTCTCACCACAAGAGGACGACGAAGGCGACGGAAGGGACGCTCTTGGCGAGCTGCTGCCACATGGGGTCAGCGAGGAGCGTATCTCCACACCAAGGCTGTGCCCCAGCAGCACCAGGCATACTGACCGCACGCACTCCCGCTGTACGCTGTTCTCTAGCGCTGTGGGCACCAAACTCGGCTCAAAACAACTACATATTTTTATATAAACATTTTCTGAAGCATTAAAGATAGTAGTCATTCATTAAAGATGGTCCAATATTACAGATGTTTATACATTAAAGATGATATAATATTACAGGATACACATTAAAAAAACATCTGGTGACGCACCGATGAGCATGAGCGCGAGTGTGGCCGCTTGCGCGGCAGCGCCTTCAACCACAACCGCCACGATGGACACCTCAACGGTGGGGGCGAAGCTCCGGGAGAAGGCGAATACGAAGTAAACGCCCATGACGACGATGGCCACTTTGCGGCGGCCATGGACGTCCATGCAAAGACCGCTGGCCACCGTCGCCAAAACCCTGGCGGTCACGAGGAGACCGGCGGCCACCGGAGACCACCAAGTGGAGCCGACGCTGCATTCCCAGGCCTGAGACCGATGGAAATACGGGCTGAGTTTTGGCTGAATTCTAAGGGGTTGTTGAATGAAACTAAGAAAATTGTAATAATGGAAATTAATACAATTTCTGAATAACTTCCGGGGCATCTTTGATTAAAGGGAAATTTGAAATCTGTAAAATCTTAAAGTTCAAAATTTATTGGTAAAAATGTGGTCCTCCTTATTACAACGACCAATTCATAAAACTTTGAGTAATTTCAGCATTATTCATGCTCACGTACCATTCACGTTGCGCATTAAATATTTTATAATCATTATACAATAGACGGCAGGTAAATTATTACAACGATTTTATGAATTTCAATTTGACCGAAGACGGCAAATATTTGGTCCTGTTCATTTCTTAATGTTGACTCACGTGATATTCTTTACCAGGAAGAACGCTCGGCAGCAAACGTCGGTTCTGGCAGGATAAACTGAAACATAAAGCAGTGTGCGATCCAAATTACAATATACCTGAAAATTTTCAAAATATTCGATAAATTAAAACAAAATCAATGCGAAACTTACTTGAAAATTTAAAACAGTAAGAAGTCAGTCTATTTAAATCGACAAACATTCGTCAATANTGCGGACCAGTTATCAGCTAGGGTCACAATTTCACTGAGTTGTTTACAGTCTTTTTCCTTAATGAACAATCGCAGAGGCGGGGGGAGAGAACTTAGAAACTGATCGATAATGAAAAACTCGCGCACACTTGCGTAATCTTTAGGAACGTCACGCGATTCCAGCCAGTAATCTAATTTACGGCCTAATTGAGTGGCAAACTGAAGGTAAGTCTCATTGCAGCCAATGCGCGCAGCACGGAACTCCTCACGGTAAGTTTCATGTGTTTTATTGAAAACACTGAGTAAGGCTTTCTTCAGGGAGTCATAATCGCCGGTTACATCTGGGGACAAGGCAGCATAAATCTGAACCGCTTTGCCAGTTAACAATGTTCCCAACCGCACAGCATAACTACTACGATTCAGCTGCAGGAGCTCAGCAATGCGCTCGAAACGTATTATGTAAGACGTTATGTCTTCACCGTCGCGATACATAGGCAGTTTAGGTTTGGCAGCGGTATCGGATAGTTGAACTTCGGAATCGCGAGGGCTTCTCAGTTCCAACATCCTAATCTCGTGATCACGACGCTCACGTTCTAACTCTGCAGCTAACTGTTCACGTTCCTTTTCACGCTCAGCAGCCTCTTTCGCAGCCTCTCTCGCAGCAGCCCTCTCCGCGGCACGCTCGTCGCGATAGAAACATTGCTGCTTATAAATGAATTCTGTTAGGGCCTCGCCCTCTAAACCCAACTGTACAGCTTCGGCGCGCAGTTCGGCGACAGTTGGCATAGACGCCATAATTACTAGCGACCGAAATGCACAAATAATCAAAGATCAGCCAATAAGATTGAGATAAACACAAATAATATTAATGATACACAAATGGTAATAAGCTCCAATCAACAAAGAAAAATATATCTAGCTACGGTATTGGTACACGGAAAATTTCAATTTGTTAGCAACATCTCAAGACAAAGCCTGCATCGGTGAATGCCTATCTGAAAATTTCACCGACCACAGAAGGAATTGCAAATCCCATCCAGAGAAACTGAACAATTTCCCTGACTACCTCTGCGTTACTTTGCGCGAACGCGAGGACGAAATGAAACAATTCTGACCGCTAGTCAGGCTGACTACGTAGTCTGTAGCAGCTTATGATACCATATCAGGTGATCAATAATGAATCTGCGTCCTGTTCTCCCGAAATATCCCCTGGCCCTACGGCAGATACTCCTGAACAAGATTTGGACTCTCACTTCTCTAAAGAAACCCTACATACACTGGATATATTACACCGCACACAGCATATATTACACAGCACTGAATATATTAGCAAAAGTAACAACAGCTTCAAACTCCAATGTTAAGGACGGTAGGCAGCTAGTCGAACTAAGGGTCGTCCTGGCAAGGTCGCCAGTTGTAAGGTTCAAGTAAAGGACGACTCCAAGTAGATTCGACAATAGCACGGTTGCCAACCCTACAAACAGCCGTAAAACTTACGACACAAAAATAAATTTAAGTAACTGAAATCCTAGAGGGTGAATTTCCCTTACATACAACGACCAATTCATGAAAGTTTTAGTAATCTTAGCAGTCTTCGTGTTCACCATTCACGTTACGCATCAAATATTTTGTATTCATTATACAGTAGGCAGCAGGTAAATTAATACAACAATTTTTATGAATTTCATTTTGTCCGAAGACGGCAAATATTTGGCCTTATTCAGAAATCGACGTTCATTTCTTAGTGTTGACTCACGTGATATTCTTTACCAGGAAGAACGCTCGGTAGCAAACGTCGGTTCTGGCAGGATAAACTGAAACATAAAGCAGTGTGCGATCCAAATTACAATATACCTGAAAATTTTCAAAATATTCGATAAATTAAAACAAAATCAATGCGAAACTTACTTGAAAATTTAAAACAGTAAGAAGTCAGTCTATTTAAATCGACAAACATTCGTCAATAGACATCAATGTGCTAAACAGCTAAAGGAAGCTACAGGACCAACATAGAAGACCTATCACAAAATGTTGAAGAATTACTGTAAGAGAAAATACTTCATACCACTCGGCTGTGCAATTTTAATCAAGCACAGAAATAGTTCAATTTCTTATGGCATTATATAGATAAACTTTTTTTGTTCTTTGTGTTATTAAACGTTGATGGTCCTGCCAGTTTCAATAGATTTGATTTATAGTTAACAACAGAGAACGAAATGAATGGATTATTCAGTTATAAAATATAAAAGACTGAAATTAATTATTCTAATTGTAGTTAAAGTTATCATTCAGCTCTTAATTTTACTCGTGATGCCACCATATATAAGCGCAACGAGACACTCTATCAACACTAAGAAGTAAATACGAAAAAGATCGTCGTTTCCGCGACGTTTTCACGCATAGCTTGGGCACAGTACGCGCAAGTTTAATTCCAGGTATGGAAAAGTGATTAGCATGGTGGTGATCTATCCTATGATATTTAGAAGTTATGATATAATAAAAATATATAGCCTTACCTCCTTGGGACATCGTGGGGCCCAATGCCGCCCCAGCAGCTGTAGAGAGGCACAGGGAACAGCGGCCCAACGTTCAGGGCCCCGATGCTTAGCAACAGCACACCTGTGTATACAAATACAGTAATTAAAATACTATTATATGATGAAAAAAGTTTCCTTATTAAACAAAATTGATTGAATACCGGACAACCAACATGAATATAATCAATAAAACAAGGTCTCTGGTCTTAATAATTGACAAGTAAATAACGATAATGAGCATGACATAACATGGTCATTTATCACCAACGTAAATAATCAAAATAGATGAATTTAAGAAAACATTGGAGGAGAAAAATATGTGTACCTACAGACAATCAATAGGTTGAGATTTTACTAACAAAAGGGAAGATGAATATTCGTAGACATACAGGCCTGAGCTTTTACATTAAAGTGATTAAGAAGATTCATAATCCTAAAAGACGTTTTAATCGTTGAAAAAAGTCAACTTCACGGGAGTCAAGAGATGAATACAAAAAAGAAAATTTTATTCTTACTAATACAATTTTATTCTTACTAATACACAGCACTGACACGATCATAACTCATTTAAATCACCAGCATTTATTAAAAATGAGCATTTATATTAAATTAATTATACCAGCATTTACCTCATTTAAAAATCACCAGCAGTATAGATAGTTCATTTAGCGACAAAGAAGCTTCGTTTCGTTTCGTAAGAAACAAATTAGATAAATTAAAACTCTCGCTGAACTCATTTGAATTTTCAATGACTGGAGCTGCCGAGGAAGGAGCAACCTAGAATTATAAAACGACGAAATAATAAGAATTAATAAAGCGAAAAAGTGATAAGAAGTAATGAAGCGACAAATTATTAAAGAGAGACAGATGAATAGCGACAGCAAAGAAGACACGCGCACAACATTTCGATCGCTTACACGAGTCGTCGGCCGCAGGACAAGGGACAAAGAAGGGAAGTTCGAGGAATCCTGCCTACAACGTACAACGACATATAGCAACCTAACCCCACAACTGAGGCCCACTGTAAGGCACCGCGCGCCCGAGGTGAAGTGTTCAAATTCTATAAGGTTTTTGACGAGCAAAAGAACGAGTCAGGAGACTTTTCTGACGGGGACTGATATGAAAGTGATGCGGGATGCTAAATGTTTTTAATACACGAATAAAATAAAACTGAACTATAAACTAACTAAACTAAAACTATACATGGAAAAATGTGTTTGAATGATGGCAAGATGCGTTCCTCTCACAACTCATTTCGAATAAAAGTATAGAAGTATAGCCTGAAAGTCGTGAGCTACCGTCTTATAACGGGAGTCACTAGTGTGGTAATGGAATATAAATATCGAATGAAAAATAAGCGAGTCAGCACACGTAGCTGCCATGCTCACACCTTGTTACAGAAAAAGTAAAGCAGCTCACACGTCGTCGCATTAATGAGAAAACCGGACTCGCGTCAACGGGAGATACATACTAATGAGCACACAGAAGCATAATCTTATAGTTTTAATGGAAATGATAGCCGTGACGAATAATTTAAAGAAATGATGCTGTCCACCGACTAGGGATTGCGTACGTGACCGTATAATGAGAAATTCAGCCTTGGGTCTATGAGAAATACGCGCCCATATACCTGTATTAAAGGTTGCGCAGATGATTCATGTGTACTATACAAAATTCAAGGATTACTTCAAGATAGAAAAGCGAGAAAAAGAATTCGAAGTTGAAAAGCGAGAAAAAGAATTAAAAATGGAAAAGCGAGAAAGTCCTACGACACGGTCTCTAGCGACTGAATCAAAAGTTAGAGATCTATTGGCCCGGTATTTTGAGTTACCACTTGTAGAAACGGGTATAGGCATTCACGTTCACAGTGACATTTTCCTATATGTGTCAGAAAATTGTGCAGCTCAGATAATTAGACTTCGTAGCGTCGTATACAATACTGATTCATGTAGTTCAGCGCTCACGAGATGTGTTTTATTTTATTAGCAGGGATGACAGTTAATATTTCAAATACGAGTTAATGTTTCATCTATATACGGGCACATTAACCGTTAGCTATGTTATCCTCATCTATAAGACAGATAACGGTGTAATTGTTATTTGGAGCAAAAGCCCCGGTTAAAAAATTCATAATACATAAAATAAATGAATAATTAGTAGAAAAAGATTTCAAATGTTGCGCAGCGACCGGACACACCGAGGGTTGAGAGAAGATGTGTAGCAACGCCAGGATGCACGACGCCAGCGTACTCCAGTAGAGCGTCGAGGCTGGCGCGCCCTCGGCCTATGGTCACCTCGTGGCTGATGGTAGCGAAACGCTGCTTACCCATCCTGCATCACGCGGGATCTGCCGTGCAGGAACATTATTGGAATATGAGTCAAGACGAATACGGGATCAAGATGATTACGGAAAATGAGAGTATATATCCAAGATGGTATTGATAGTCAAGGTGAAAAATACTAGAATTTCGAGGAGTGAAATATTCCTGTGTAAGGAAGGTACTGATACTGGCTTAACACGTTGACTACGAAGTGGTACATATGCGTATCACGAAATGTATTTCTTCAGGACATAGTGGTACATGTACATAATTCAGGATGCCTAAAATCGGCCAAATCCGAGAACAAAAAAGGCCAAAAAAGGCCGATAACTCAATATATATTACTAGTTTATTTGTAGGTTCCGCTATAAAAATTCCATTTATTTCCTTTTTGCAGCATTTAAAATTTAATTATGAAGTACCCCTATCATAAATTTTAGCCGGCCAACGCAATTGAGAAAAACTAAATCACGGAATTCGTCCGGAAAAAGAGACCGTCTGGCAACCCTGTTTAAAAACAGTACAAAAAATAAAATAATAGTACAAGATGAAGCAATCGTAGTAAACGTGTTAAGGCGAAAGCATTTCAGCATTCTGTAACGTGGCATTCGCTATATAAAACGTAACGTGCTAAATGTTGCTACTAGCTTCACTAAAGGTATAGTCGGGAGGTAGAATTCGTGTTTGTATTTTATCTAACACAAATTTGGTACAAATTGAAGTTATATTAGTGAATAGTAGTGCAAGTGAAGTTCTTCTTACTGAACGAAAAAAATAAGAACGAAAAAATAAGTAATGCGCAGTTATCAATTACATCTTCGTCGGTACCGTATACGAGGAAAAATGAAGCAGACAGCAATATTGCCCGTATGAGGTAATTTTCACATTCGAGTATTCAGTAAATCATCTACATTGCAGGAAGACGATATTCGTAGAACTGAATTTTTTTCTCGTTATCAGCTATATCAATTGATGAAAAATGGAATCTAAAACAAATTCGTCATCAACTAACATTGGTCTATCCTCGGCTGTACACTGTTAGAAAAAATACCGTTAACGGTATTACCGGCGTTTCAGTGGCCGGTCGGGACGTGAAAAGAAACACCATGTCGCCGTTTTTATTCTAATTTGACTCTTGAAATCCATAAAACATCTAATAAAAACGGCGAAACAGTTTATTTTCACGGGGGCGACCGGCCATGCACTAGAATGCCAGTGGGACCGTTTTTTCGCCGTTTTTTCTAACAGTGTAGTTAAACCAGGATTATATATTTGAGTTGAGAATCAGGGACTGCGGATATCGGATATAGGGATAAACAATAAAAAGTAAGGTGCGTTCGGCTCATGAACGATGTGTCATCATAGATGAATCGCACATACCAATCAAACCATAAGACAGAAAGAAACCCACACAGTTACACAGAGCCATGTGCATGCAGCATGTGCTACCTATCACTACATGCAGCACACAGGCGACAAAAGGTACGCAGCACACTGCAGGGTAGCTATCACTACATGCAGCACACAGGCGACAAAAGGTACGCAGCACACTGTGGGTAGCTATCACTACATGCAACACACAGGCAACAAAAGGTACGCAGCACACTGCAGGGTAGCTATCACTACATGCAGCATACAGCCGTTAAAAGGTACGCAGCACACTGCTGGGTAGCTATCACTACATGCAGCACACAGGCGACAAAAGGTACGCAGCACACTGCAGGGTACCTTTCACTACAAGCAACACACGTGCAGTAAAAGGCACACTGCTACCAGCTGCGTGCCGGCATGCACTTGATGGTCTCAAAAGGCAGTTCAATAAAGCGGGTAAGTGAGCTGGTTACCCTCTGGGAATCATACATCAACACGGCACTAGTGCCACACAAAAGAAGCTTGCAGCCACGCAGACGCCACTGCAAGGCATTTAGACGGCTGGCAACTAAAGAGAACCTACGTGCTGGTGCATACTGGATTCTTGATTGGGAAACATTCCTAAACATATAGCTGGTGGTTCATTTGGACCTTTCGCTATTGGGTACATAAATTACATGCTAAAATAATACAATAATGTGAAGTAATTAATTGAAAACAGAAGGTAAAGGAAAAAAACGGAGTATATCTATGAAATGTGATATATATAAAATCCGAGATACTTTCCTCATCACTAGAAACAAGTGGGAATTTGCTTGTACTTCTAAGATGAACATCTACATAGCCGCATAAGCATAATGTACAAATAATTCCCATTTGAAAATGCAGGCAGATACTTCAGCTTGAAAAAACACAGGTTCAAATTTGTATGACTGAAACTACAGCTGTTGGAAACTACAGTTGCCTATTGATAACATATATTGCAATACACTTTTACGAGCGTCATCGGAACATCATTCTTCACCTGTAAAAATGCATATATATTATTGTTCCTGGGCGCGCAACCCTTATAGATAATAATCTGTGGAACATGAGAGTCCCGCTATCACGAACTCCGTTATTCAATTCCCTTTATTCCGGAACCAGTTGCTCATTTTTACATTAAAGATAATAATGGAAATACCCGTTCAAAGTTACATTTAACTATTTTGAAGTTTAAAAGAAATTTATTTTAAGATATTTAATTTATTTTTGAACCATTATTAGGTTCAAGAAATTAAATCTTTAACTGAAAATTTGATGCACTCACAGAAGGCAAATATTGTTGAGAGGCGCTCGAATAACTGTTATATCTTTAAAACATTCGGCTATAAACACAGAAAAAAACGAACTCTGAAAATATATACTAATAGATACAAAGAGCTCAACTTGAGATACGAGCTTATAGTTAAAAAAGTGGGTCAACAGTCCACACAAGCAAACCCTAATTAAGGATATGCAAGAAACTACTGGACAGAATCAGGGCAATGATATCAAGCAAGAAACTACTGGACAGAATCAGGGCATTGATATCATGCAAGAAACTACTGGACAGAATCAGGGCAATGATATCAAGCAAGAAACTACTGGACAGAATCAGGGCATTGATATCATGCAAGAAACTACGGGAAAGAATCAGGGCATTGATATCATGCAAGAAACTACTGGACAGAATCATTGCATGATATCATGCAAGAAAGTACGGGACAAAATCAGGGCATTGATATCATGCAAGAAACTACTGGACAGAATCAGGGCATTGAAATCACGTGGACGATGTCTTACATGTGATGTGTCAGCAAACCGAATGAAAATAAAGGTTCTCATCACATTTTTCAATGCATAAAATCTGAGTAACACTGGCAACAAAAGCAGTTGTTTGGGCATTGTGTCAAGAAAATAGAATAATTCGTTTAAGTGTCACGCGTTTATTTGTATGCCTAACTTTTTGCATTAACTCTTCCTACTGTAGGGCAAAATTGGTCCGAAGTTCGGCTGTTGTACATCACTTTCTTTTCATGATGGAAACATTACGATTTCTTTCATCTCATGGCAGTTTGACTAATATAATAAACTTTTACAAAAAGTGTATTGTCGCTTCGCCAGGCATCATAACCGTTTCTCTCAGTCTAGCACAAGTGCTGCGACAAATAAAAAGAATATTTATCATGCAATGAGCAAGTTCCACATGTCATACAACAACAAAGAATGAATACAGCCAGAAAAGAATTAAGCGGAAGTTGCTTCAGCGAGCTGACGCTGCAGCATGAGTAATCACCGACCGGGGTTGGGATGGCGTTGGCTGGAAGCCGTAGTACGTAATTCGTTACAAGACTAACTGTATAATATCATATTCTCGAATTTTTGTGTACAGGATATGCTCGTGACTAGAGCTGCACTCTACAGAAAATCATGTAAATGTCGCAAGTTGTAGTTCAATATATCAGCGATAGAATGTAGTTTTGTTCGGGATCTCTGCAGCGTTATAAGAGCTTGATGGCTGTGCGGAGCATCAATTCGTGTACATGTTTCTGAGGGAAGATATTTTGGCAGTATATGTGACAGTTATATCTATCATACTAAGGATAAGGCGAAAGTAACACATCCACCGCTTGCCACATTGTGTCAGATACCTACTTGGAAAAATGATGACACGTTGGAAATTTTATATCTGAGTCAGCGAACGTTTCGAGTGAACAGAAACCACGCAAGCGGAGCTTGAATTTACGACGGCCGCAGGGCTCGCAATGATTAGAGATTTCGTAAAAAAAAATCTCGAATATTTTTGTCATCGAGGAGGTCGATGACATCGATTTAAATCCATTGCACACGACAGCCGCAAGTAAAATACGAAAAGTGGATGGGACAATTAATAACTACATAGAACGATGACAACATTGTCAGGAATGAATAATTCCAACGGATAAAATGAAAAATGTCAATAAAATAATAGATCATTGAAGGGAATGGAAACAAAGGCAATATTGCTGAGTACCAAGTGAAGGATGAAATGTTTATAATCGACGTACCGAGCTGAAGACGTGATTAATGCTCCGGGACGAAACGCAAATATTTCAGATCATCATCGGTGCGTTGAGTGGTGGAAACAACCGCGACATGCTATAATTATAAAGATTATACCGGTACGGTGGTACCTAACAATACATATTTAATTTTCACTTCATATCATGAAAAACTCAAATCTGAAATGATGAAAATACGTTTGAAACAACATCGGGCATATCAGAACGAAATTTCAAAGCGGACTTGAATTTAAAATAGGGTTTTTAAACGTGGTTCAAACGAGGACATTAACAACGTGGAAAGTTACAAACATATTCATTTGTAGTATTAATTGATTGATCATTGATAATTAATTAATTGATCATTGTTAGCTGCGAGCAACAGATCAATTGTGATAACGGATCACTGTTGCTGATGAAGGCGGCACAAACCGCTAACTTCGATGAGCGCTGAGTCCGGGAACCCGCAGGTTGAACCTACGAGCTGAGAGCAGACAACCGCAATTAGTAGCATCAAAAGATCATTTCACATCACTCAGCCGGCATTCAATTTCCTAAGGGTTCTAGTAAGCCTCAGCATATCCAGCAACTCAAGGAACATGACAAACACTCCCAGTTCACTTTGACAAACACTCCCAGTTCACTAAGAGAGCGACAGAGCACAGCAACCTCACTACGCGTGCGGCAGAACACTGACAGCAGTCAGCAGAGTTTAGGTGTAACCCAACGACAGGAGTCGCGGCATTCAAGGTCCTGCACTCCCTGCTCACCAGAGGCCAGCTGCAGCAGCAGCCCGCTGACACTAGTGACTGATGGCGCCGCAGACCGCTTCGAGTTTCTAAGTTCGACTATATATAAGTTAAATTCAATGAAAGAAATATAAATTCAGTGGAAAGAACTGCATGGAAGCTAAAGATTTATTGAAATACAATAATATATGTTAACGTAATATAAATTAAATACCAATAACAAAATAAAATTCCACAGAACCATTGCCAGTCGAATGTGCTCCGATGATCCGATCTGTTCATTAAGACAGTTCTACTATAAGCACATTCTTTTTCCGAGCTTTGCAAAGAGCAGAATTTTGAATACCTATTGCCTGATGTTATATATAACCAAAGAGCCATTATATGTAATTTCACACCATTACAAAAATACTTTATAAGTTTAATAAACATTGTATTACAGGGAAGAATCGTGCAAAAACTGAATACCCAAGTACATTAGAAGAGGAGAGACATTGATGCTCTGGATTCCGCGTGCTAATGGGAGATCTCAATCCCGCGATGTAACTAAAGTTCGCTTGTAAACCGTACTTCGATTGTTCGTACGCTGTTTATATTATTGAGAAGATAGAGGAAGCGTATTTGTTAAAGTATTCTGAAATTTTCACACGCAACTAAATCAAATGGAAAAATAGCTTCTCAGACCAAGAAGAACGAAAAATATAAGCTGTACTCTAACATCATAAGCGGCCGATAGCTAAATCCTTAGTATCTTTAGTATCTGTTTCGGATGTAGTAGTCCCAGGCAACGATGGATCGCCGCCTATCATTTGAGCCAGCTGATGCACGATGCTGTTGTTTGCTTGTCACCGCTGATAGTGGTGCAGGGGAGGTCAATCAGGGATTGTGCCCAGAAACAAGTCCAGTCTTCTCATGAAGGTCTCCAGAGTGAACTCTATCTCTATTAGATCCTTTGGTAGGACGTTAAACAGCCTCGGCCCTGCCATGGAAAGAGATTCTTTCCGCAGGGATTGAAATCTGACCGCGGATCAGTTACTTCGTGGGGGAGCCTTGCAGTCTCCCCCTTCTCTCGTTATGATATGTTTCAATCCTGAAGGTCTCGTTTTCAAAGGTTGGTGTCATTCCGGTTATTATTTTCTATGTTTACAGAATGACAAACCTCTCCCGTCTCCTTTGCAGTGAGTACAGACCCAGTCGCTCCAACATATGATCCTGGAAGAAAAGGTTCGCTAGCTGGATCCCTTCCAGTTGCCGCACTGCGCCGAGCGTGAACAGAGTAGAGCTGGCAGCAGTATTCAAGGAGAGGTATCACAAGGGCTCTGAAGAGTGTGATCATCGGTTCTGCTACTCTTGTTTTGAACGTTCGCCAGATCCACCCCAAGTGCCGCCGGCGGTTATTGTCGCAATATGAGCATCAAAATTGACCTGCGTATCCATCAGCACTCCGGCCTAGATCATGAACGAGTCGCTTCTCTTCTGTTTCCGAGCTGTCAAGTGTGAGGTAGCGGTGCTCCATACCAGCTCTTCCGCTACCTCTTTTTCTTAGAACCTCACACTTAGTCCCGTTGAACTGCATATTGTACGTTTAGGCCCAGTCATATATTGCAGAGGTCTTCTTTCAACCTCTCGCAGTCCCTCCTGTGCGTGATGGTCATTAGTATCCTGGTGTCGTCCGCGAATGACGACGCAGAGGCGTGATACACCGCCACATCTATGTCTGCGATGTGGATGAGGAAGATCATAGGGCCGAGTACCGTTACCTGTGCTACTCCACTCAACACCCTAACCTCGCTCGATCTCGAGCCTCCTACAACGATAGCTTGCAGTCTTCAGTTAGGAAGTCGTAGATCCATGCCTGCAATTCACCTCCGACCTTTAGTAGTCTTAATTTTCCGAAGAGCACTGCATGGTCAACTTTTCAAACGCTTTCGCATAGTCTAAATACACCACGAACCCCGGCCCTCTCCTCCAGCATGGCCAGGATTTGGTAGTGATGCTCTAGTAACTGAGACAAACAGGAGTGATTTCGTCTAAAACCGTGTTGTCTTCCGTTGAAAAGGTCAGCTTCCTCCTGCACGACAACCGGCCTGTAATTTTGCGGGTTTGTCTCTCGCACGTGCTTTCTAGATTGGGGTATTAGCCCTAATTTTAGGAATTATAAAGGACGTTTCTTTCTCTCAATGATGTTTTCCAGAGCAAAGTCAGAGTGCACAGACACATTTTTTCAGTAACACTGCAGGGCCTCCATCTGGCCCGGGAGTCGAATAAGTTGATAATTCTTGGATACTCCTCTTTAGATCAGGTGTTCAAACTCAAGTCCATGTTCATCAGCACCTGCCCCCTTGCAGTTCTTGAATTACTCCAATTTCGTTCTGCGGTCGTAAAGTATCGGGGGTTGCTGTATAACTTTTCAAACTGTGCTTCTAGAAGTTCGCACACGCCCTGGTCGTCTCCAATACGGACGTCGTTATTTTTCAGAGGTCCAAGTGTCGCCATGACTTTGACTGGACATATTGGTAGAAATACTTGGGGTTCTCCTGAATGGCAGCCACCGCTCGCGCCTCCGCAACTTGTTGCTCAGCCTCTTGGTGAGTCTTGCAGCTGTTGTTTAGGCCTCCGCCTCTCCATATTTCTGGAGGTGGCCGCTATATAGCTACTTGCTTAGTTGTAACAAAACGTTGCAGTTGTAATAAAACGTTGCAGTTGTAACAAAACGTTGCAGTTGTAACAAATCGTTGCAGTTGTAATAAAACGTTGCAGTTGTAACAAAACGTTGCAGTTGTAACAAAACGTTGCAATAGTAACAAAACGTTGCAGTTGTAACAAAACGTTGCAGTTGTAACAAAACGTTGCAGTTATAAAAAACGTTGTTGTTGCAACAAAACGTTACAGTAACAAAATTTCTAATTTTGAGTTGTAACATCATTTCAAATACAAGAGTTACAGACGCCATCCTCACTACGTTCCTCGACATGAAATGGACCTAAGGCCTATACCTTTTTTAGTACAAAGTACTTCCTGTGAGCGCTGGTAAGCCTCGACAGCAACTATAACAAATTGCACTTGAGTGTAACTTTAACACAGGCAGCTTCCCGCAGCCGATATCAATTCTGTTTCTGTTCCGAACAAATTCAATGAAAACGTAAATTTAAACATAAATTCTTGTTTATCGTGACAGTGGATTCCAACCGTAATACGCGCGCGACGCGAAGCATGCACATTTTCTGCCTGAATATGAAAATTTTGAATTTAAGGAAACACCGGAATTCCATAATGCGATAAGTATTAGAATTAATTTTTGGATTTTGTTTAAAATTTATGCTGCTTGTCGGAAGCTTACTCAAGACGCACACAAACGAAATTGTCGCAACGCGCAAGAAAGAACACAGACAGATGTTCATCCAGACACTGCATTCGCGCTTCAAACAGAACACTTGCATCGTCCTACACAAGTCAAGAAACTCGTGCTGGATTGAGTAATCGAGCAGCACGCGCACGATTGCGCTGAGGTGGTGGATGCACTCGATTATGCATGGAACAACTCATGATTGAACTACATAAGGTTGACCCACGAGAAGTTCCGACTTTCAGTTCAGCTTTCTTGTTGCGTCACTGAGATCGAGAAACGTAAACAAACCCGTCATTCTCATGACGGATTGATTGACTGGTTTGAACGCACTTCGGTGATTGGTTAATGATCGTGACGTCACTGAGATCAGTGACGTCACATGCGAACAAAAAGCTCCATCCATGGGTCAATCTCACACTAGTTCAACCACAGAACAACTCACCAAGTCGATAAAAGAAGAAAAGTGTTTGGTTGAATAGTTTAAAACGTTTTAGATATGATAGTTAATAGTTAGGGAGATATTTTAAGAGTTTTTTTGACGTTTTACCTGCAAAGATTGGCAAAACGATTGTTTAATGCTGCATGCAGGAGTGAAATTCACTTTTAAATTAGTTCAGTGATTAGAAGGTTATAGTAGAATTTAAAAAGTTATGAATACTAATTCTATTTTAATAACAGCTGAACTGAAACTCAAAAATTATAAGACTTTTGGCTGCTTTAAAGTGATTAAATTTCTAGGTTTGGGAGTACTTTCGAATTGAAATTAAAAAGTTATGAATACTATTACTAATTTTAGAAACGACAGAACCGATACTAGAGGAATTAAAACAGACTTTTTGCCGCTAAAAAAAAAAAACAAATTTCCTGGTTTGGGAGAACTTTCGAGTTGGATTTAAAAAGTTATGAATACTAATTCGATTTAAGAAACGACTGATCTGATGCTTGCGAAATTTTAACAGACTTTTTATCGCCTCAAAGGGAATATATTTCTAGGTTTGGAAGAATGTTCAAGTTAAATTTAAAAACTTATGAATTCTAATTATATTTTAGAAACGGCTGACCACATAAACGTGAAATTATAACAGAATTTTTACTGCTTTAAAAGAAATAAATTTCTAAGTTTGGCAGAACTTTCTCGTTGAAATTAAAAGGTTATGAATACCAATTCGCTTCAAGAAACTAGGGATCTGATATTTGTGAAATTATAACAGATTTTTATCACTTTACAGTGAATAAATTCCAAGGTTGGGGGGAACTTTCAAGTTGAATTTATAAAGTTATGAATACTACTTCTATTTGAAATGACTTTTTGAAAAGAATAAATTTTTAGGTTTGGGAGAACTTTCGAGTTGAATATAAAAATGTATGAATACCAATTTTATTTTGGGTTACGTTAGGTTTAGGCAGGCATTCGTTGTATGATATTTGATTTTTGCGTTTGATTTATTTTGTTACGAGAGATGAATATTTTAGATATGATCAAACTTCATAATAATTTCAAATTGATGTGAATGGATTTTCTCTTAATTTTTTCTCATACTTCATGTCCTTATGGTTTTATACTGTAATTAGTGAAAACTGCTTTAGATTTTTATTGCGACACACTTTATTCTTGAAAAATATATACTGAAGAATAGAGGGTTTCATTTTTGTTCAAAATGTTTAATAATTTTGCCTCATTAAAGGTGTTTTCTTTCATTTTTTTGTGGTCATTTTGGCAGGGTTATAATCTGTCCTTAGTTCAGTGCGGTGCTATGTCCACATCTTATTTGTATGTTCGAGGACTTATGCCCGAGGGAAGAATCCAATGATGATCTATATTTCAGAATGCCTAAAAAAGAGCAGGTAATCAAATAACAATAATTTCACGTAAATAATTTGCTGCGCAGAAGTAATATCAGGCGGTTGGAATATTTCACCATGAATATTATTGCAGCAATTAAAATGTTTTCTTACGTTTCACTGAGAAGAAACCCACTCTTAAAAATTCTATTTTAGAAACGTAAACGTGCACTAAAAATTCTCACAATAATGGTTAGCCATACTCACTACAATCTCTTGCGAGGCAATATGTTCAGACAATGAATCGATCAAAACTGCTACATCGCCCTTAGAATGTTACTGATAAGGCTTTTTGAAAATGCTTCGGGAATTCAAGGAAGTACGTTAATTTTTTCGAGTATTGGATATCTAAACAATCACTGTGCAGTGTGCGGTAAAGCGGTCAATGGAGCCAGTTTAACCGTTTTAATTGTAACATCAATAGTTATGGCTTCAATGCAAGCGCGATAAACACGATGAGCTTTGAATAAGCGAGCATTATCCCCAAAAGAGCAGTTTTACCGAGTAACATGAGTACCGATAGTTATAGGAATAATCCTGTAAACCTTAACTTGGAATCTAAAATTCAGTAGCGTTTCTCCATAAGCAGAGTCTATTGCTAACAAACTAATCAATAACAATCTTTAATAAACCTCAGAATAACAATCATATCATTAATGGAACTAGAGATTAGTTGTTACGTCATGCACATGCAATGATGCCCAACACTTAGGAGAAGGAAAACAAATTTCAATACAAATGTAATTTTTCCATTAGATTGCACCTTTAAACAAGAATTGTCAACGAGGATACTCTATACTTCCCGTCAAAATTGTATACCAAAGAGTCAGTCCGAATCCCAATACTGAAATGACAAATAATTGTTGATATAAATTTGTTCCTACTTCTGTAGTCCGAAGCAGGAATCACTGGGCAGCAGACGATGGTAGGAACCAATCACTGGGCAGCAGACGACGGTAGGAACCAATCACTGGGCAGCAGACGATGGTAGGAACCAATCACTGGGCAGCAGACGATGGTAGGAACCAATCACTGGACAGCAGACGATTAGGTACCAATCACTGGACAGCAGACGATGATAGGAACCAATCACTGGACAGCAGACGATGATAGGGACCAATCACTGGACAGCAGACGATGATAGGGACCAATCACAAGACAGCAGACGATGGTAGGAACCAATCACAGAGCAGCAGACGATGGTAAGAACAAATCACAGGACAGCAGACGACGGCAGGAGCCAATCACTGGACAGCAGACGATGGTAGGAACCAATCACAGGACAGCAGAAGATGGTAAGAACCAATCACTGGACAGCAGACGATGGCAGGAGCCAATCAGAGAGCAGCAGGTTTAGGAGCATGTGCGGTAAGCCAGTCGTCGATCTGCTGAGCGTTGGCGGCCACCCATCTGATGTTGGTCTGGACGGTCTCCAGCGCCTGCTGCCGGTACTGCTCTCCCGCCCCAGCCTCGGGGTTCGCAGCGAAGAATTCTTCCATCTGAGCCCAAACAGAAGTGCCGTTACCATAATATTTTTCCTATTGCAAGGGCATGATGATTATATTTATGTATAACCTAACTACCCCTCTCCCGCCTCGGGGTTCGCAGCGAAGAACTCTTCCATCTGAGCCCAAAAAGGAGTAAGTTAACATAATATCATTCATATTGCAAGGCAATTATAATTATATTCATGCATAACCAAACTACCCTGCCTTCGCCTGGTGGTTTGCACTGAAATAGTTCTCCAGTATAGGATCTCAGCAGGAATACCAATCCTACGAAGTCGGCAACTTAGTTTTATTTCCAACAAAGGTAATTGGTTTATTATAGTTGTGATTGATAACTATCATCATGTTAAGCTGAGCTAAAGAAGTCAACTATTTGCCGAGAAAAAGTATATTATTTGAAACTTGACGGAATCTAAACAGATGGTATATAAATGATTATAAGCCTAACGTTGGAGCTTAGATATCGGTTATATCAATGCAACCATGTAACAAAATTTGGTTGAATAACGCAAACACGTACGCCAACTGGGCTTTTTTGGGTGCAAAAGACCAGTGCGCCATAGAAATCGTTCGTAAAGTTGCCATTATTTTATGGTATTAAACAACGGATAATTATAGCATCAGGACCATACGATGAAATTCACTTCATGCAGGTATGAGAAGCGTGAATTTTAAATGAGAGGACAAATATTTGAACAACTTCGCATGCACTAAAGCTAAGAACCTCGTCAAGTTTCTGCTGCGTGGCGAAGTACTGAGAGATGTTAGGAATAAGCTGGCCGAGGTAGCGGTCGTTGAGCGTGTAGCGGGCTACAAGCCAGTCCCAGTTGGCCCTGTGGGGCACGAGATGCTTTAATATATTAACCCTCTACCGTCGTATGTCACTCTCAGGGAATATAACTTTCAACTTAAATTACACGTAAACAAGTGAGTGTAGCAACCTGCAGGGGCCTTACTTTCAAAACTCGCTAAGTCAACGTAAGTACTTACGCTCTATTTTCTTGTCGATGATTGGTGGATTTTGCTTGAAAGGCCGCCAATGATTGGCTGATGAACTTACGATCTCTCAACTTTTTTTGAAAGTATAGGCCCAGAGGACGTTTGTACGCAACAGAGAACATTTTAAAGTTGTACTTGGCGGCAACCATCAGTGCAAGTCATTTTGCGCTAACTACAACGTATCCTTTTTGAGAAGTAGGCTTGTGACAACATTGCTCCGGTTACTCGTGTCAGGCGGTAGAAGGTTGATATAGGTTGAAGTTAACTGAATAGGTACTTCTCTTGAGATCAATGGAAACTTACTGAATAATATTGCTGCACTTAAGGTAAGCGGAAAGTTAATATTCGTACGTATAAATACTCGATTATATACTAAAGTTACGAATTTTCGTAGGATAAATGGACGTTTACTGAATAATTGCAACATATGCAGATAAGATAAAACTTACTCTTTACGTGTAAAAATACTGATAATCTTCAAGTTACAAGAAGAATGAGATACAAGGAATATGATTGACATGACATGTAAATATCGGGACACAATCGCTCCCCGAATTTGACATGATGGGATTTTTCATCGAAAATTTATTTTGTCCCACAATTGAACCAAAAGAAAATCTCTTAAAACTTGAGTAATTAGCGTGAAATTTTTATTAAATTATAATGAATTAATAAAGATTGTAGCACAGGGAACTTATTAGCGTCAAGAAATGTTTCATAATATTGAAATATTGAATTGATTAGAATGTGGCATGAAATACCAATAATCTCAATGTTTCCTAATAAAATTTTTCACATCTTTACTAAACTGAAAAATATTATATAACTGAAGAATATTATAGAGCCTCTCAAAAATATATAACTGAACAATATATAACTGAAGAATATATAACTGAAGAATATTCTAGAGCCTCTGAAGAATATATAACTGAACAATATATAACTGAAGAACATTATAGAGCCTCTGAAGAATATATAACTAAAGAATATATAACTGAAGAATATATAACTGAAGAATATATAACTGAAGAATATTATAGAGCCTCTGAAGAATATATAACTGAAGAATATTATATAACTGAAGGAATTTACAGGGCCTCTGACCTGACCCAGTCCCAGACGAGGTCGGTGCCCGCAGGATTGTAGGAGATGTACTCGAGCACGTGGAGGAAGTCCTGCGTCCTTACGAGGTTAGGATCTTGTGCCATTGTGATGAAACTGAGCAATAAATAATATAATATTATGACAATATTAGAAATAATGATATGATTAGGATGTAATCGTGATGAAACTGAGCAATAAATAATATAATATTATAACAATATTAGAAATAATGATATGATCAGGATGCAATCGTGATGAAACTGAGTTTTGAATAATATAATATTAAAACAACATTGAAAATAATATGATTAGGATGCAATAGTGATGAATCGGAGCGATAAATAATACCTATAATTCTACAATAATATGAGCAATAATAATATGGTAGTATGCACATTGATGTAACTGATAGCAAGGAAGTGATAAGAGTCATATACAATCGCGATGTTATTGATTAAGAACAAATAAACTAACCAATAAGCTTTCGAGAAATAGCTTGTTTAAAAAAACTGAAAATGGAAATGAAAATCAGCGTTTATTGCCCAAGTTTTCGAGTGAACAATAGGCCGTAATTGTGAGCTCCAGGACAGAATGGCTTCGAATACGCGTTAAATTTTAGCTTATGGATGCATTAACCTGTGTCAGTGCTAGAAAAATCTGGCGACGATAGTTATGGGCAAAAAATTTTTACGAAGGTTACACGCGAGGAAGGGACAACGTCAAGATACTGCTTTTCAAACAATGAAGAGGGAAAAATAAACGACGTATACTATATTGGAATCAAGAAAAAATGATCTCCCATAGCGAGAATTATTTCAAGTGAAGTAACACTGCGAAAAAGTTTTACATGTTAAATAAGATCAAATTTCTAATGAGAATGTAAAAATAATCAAGAGAATAATCTGATTATTTGGCTGAAAATGCACACATTGTAAACACGTTTAATAAACAAACAAGATCAACTATACGTATACCACATAATATATGTACATACAGTACATGACAATATATGACCAAACTTAGCAGGCAAATGACGCAGTGGAAATAACGTTAGCAGTGGAAATAACGTTAAATCAACAATCATTCAACCAAACGACGTTTAATTCAACGTCAGACGTCTGGTAGAAACCTATAACAACGTTCTCACTTGGAAAGCGTGTTCTGCGAGTTTGCGAGGCCGTAGAAAAATAACGTCGAATCAACGACCATTCAACCAAAAGACGTTTAATGCACTAATTCAGCATCAGACGTCTGGTGGAAACTTATGCCAAAGTTCTCACTTGGAAAGCGTCAACCAAACGACGTTTAACTCATTAATTCAACATCAGACGTCTGGTGGAAACTTATAACAAAGTTCTCACTTAGAAAGCGTCAACCAAACGACGTTTAATTAATTAATTCAGCATCAGATGTCTGGTGAGAACGTAAAACAAAGTTCTCACTTGGAAAGCGTCAACCAAACGATGTTTAATTCATTAATTCAACATCAGATGTCTGGTGAGAACTTATAACAAAGTTCTCACTTGGAAAGCGTGGCGACGTCCTGGGAGTTAGCGAGGCCGTAGAGGCAGTTGTCCTTCTCTGTGGCGTCCTGCGTGGCGGAGCAGCGCTGCCACACGGCGTTCCACACCTCCTCTGTGCCGCCCTCCACCATGCCTTGTCGCAGTACCTGCCATCAACAACACAAACTTTAGACAATAATATGGAGAACTCGTGGCCATCATCAACTCGTGGTCATCATCAACTCCTGGCCATCACCAACAATGGAGAACTCGTGGCCATCATCAACGATGGAGAACTCGTGGCCATCATCAACGATGGAGAACTCGTGGCCATCACCAACAATGGAGAACTCGTGGCCATCATCAGTAATGACAGAGTGGAGAGAGGCAGAGGATAGTTACCTGTCGTCTGGTGGAGAGAGGCAGAGGATAGTTACCTGTCGTCTGGTGGAGAGAGGCAGAGGATAGTTACCTGCCGTTTGGTGGAGAGAGGCAGAGGATAGTTTTCAAACTGGGCGTACAGCTGCAGGAGGCGTGCGGACTCCTGAAGACAAGACTCCAGTCCCGCGACGCACGCCAGGTACACGATCTCAACTCGCAGCAACCTGAGCGTAGCAATACATTAATATATAATATTCATTCATTCTTATCAATAAATTGCTTTAAAAACATAAAAAGGAACTTTGCTGGATCTAAAATCGGCACTCGACTGGCATTGAATCGCCTCAGACTATACTGCATTAGGGTAAATATATTGGCAATATGGCAACCCTGGATCTGTTGTACGACGTTTACATGATCAAAAAAAAAAGCGAACATAGTAAGTACCAGTTTGATGTAAAATACACTATTTTAATGATGCATACCGGGTACACTAGTTTAATGTTATATGATGATGATACACAAGTTTAATGTTAGATCAGAAAACATCAATTCATCAAAGAAATAAAACAAAGTTAATTGAATATGATGAAATCATAAAAGAAGCAATAAAATATAATGGTTTTTGATTTGTCCATGTTGGTCAGTAGCCAATTACTTAATACGCGGCCACTTCCCACATTTCGACCAGAATTTTCTCAACTAGCTGCATGTAGATTTCGAACCCCCAACTAACTGCTGCAATCTTGATGATTTTAACACGTTGACTACGAAGTGGTGCATATGCGTACCACGAAATTTATTTCTCCAGGACGTAGTGGTACAAAATTCTGGTTGCCTAAAATTGGCCAAATCCGAGAACAAAAAAGGCCAAAAAAGGCCGATAACTCAAAATATACTAGTTAATTTGTAGGTTCCACTATAAAAATTCCATTCATTTTCTTTTTGCAGTATTTAAAATTTAATTAGGAAGTACCCCAATCATAAATTTTAGCCGGCCAACGCAATTGAGAAAAACTAAATTACGGAATTTGTCCGGAAAAATGACCGTCTGGCAACCTTGTTTAAAAACAGTACAAAATATGATACAATAGTACAAGATGAAGCAATCGTAGTCAACGTGTTAAGCACATATTCATCCACTAATACTAAGTGTCTCACTGCTGCAGATGGTCGCCCTCATCCTGCCAGCCTGAAACGGACTGCGATCCGGGCTAGAAAGTACGGTAGTTTAAAACGATTACAAATCTCAGAATAAACAACATTACATGAAGCACAATAAACAAAATATGCTGTAAAACAAAAAAAAAAGATATCTGAAGTAGACATTAGTCAGTTGTTTAAGCAGATAAAGTGACCTGTTAGTAGCAGTTTTCCAGGGCACGAGATGCGTCTCGTTGTTAAGGGCGGTGCAGAGGTCGAGGGCGCTGGCGTAGGGCAGGAGCGCAGCGTCGGCCAACGCCAGCGCGTCGTCAACCAGGCTTGACCTGTCCGCGGGGCCCACGCTCTGGGGGCACGGTAAATTACGAATAATAATCAACGAATAAGGGCGAATGAATAATAATGAACGAACAACAGAGAACAAATAATAATTAACGAATAATAGAATGAATAAGAATTATCGAATAACGGCGAACGAATAATAATGAGCGAATAACGGTGAATGAATAATAATGAAGGAATGACAGCGAACTAATAACAGTGAACGAATAATAATTAATGAATAACAGCGAATGAATAACAATGAACGAATAACAGCTAACGAATAATAATTAACGAATAACAAGAGAACGAGTAATATTTAACAAATAACTGAGAACGAATAATAATTAATGAATAACGGAGAACGAATAATAATTAACGAATAACAGAGAACGAATAATGAACGAATAACAGAAAACGAATAAGAATGAACGAATAACAGAAAACGAATAAGAATGAACGCATAACGGCGAATGAATAATAATGAACGAATAACGGCGAACGAATAACGGCGAACGAATGACGGCGAACGAATGATAATTAACGAATAAAAGAACGAATAATAATTAACTAATAACAGCGAACGAACAATAATTAACGAATAAGAGAGAACGAATAATAATTAAAGAATAAAAGCAAACGAATAAGAATGAACGCATAACGGCGAATGAATAACGGCGAACGAACAACGGCTAACGAATAACGTTACTTGCTGCATAAGAAGTGCAGATACAATATATGCACGTTTTGGAGAGAAATATGGCAGTTTACGGGACGAACGAATAACGTTCGTCGTTTCATAAGAAGGGTGGCTATAATATTATTATTATCATTTTATATTTACAATTTATGATCCTTTTTGTTTTATTCAACATGTGTGAACAAAATTAAAATCGATAGATCCAGTTGCAAAACTTCGTTGTTTATTTTTCAAAATACTCAAACTTCTGGAATGAATTTTCTGCTTTCCTTAATACGTCACAAAAAAATAATTACTTGCGGTTTTTCGAATTGTTCTCTAATGGCCTTCAAATCTCATTAGCTTCTATAGATATAACTCGGAGTCTATTTTGTCACTTGTTCTCATTAATTTAGTGCTATTGTATTCTAAACGAAAATAGATAAATAAGTTTATTTAGTGCTATTGTGTTCCACGCGAGAATAGATAAATAAGATATAGCAGAAAATGCAGAACACCTACCTTGTCGATGCTTAGTGCTATTGTGTTCTATACGAAAATAGATAAATAATAAAGTGCAGAATACATACCTTGTCTATGCATAGTTGTCTCATAGACGCCCAAGTGTCGAGGTCATAGTTGACTCTGTAGTAGCCTTGCTGCTCGAAGTTTAGCTTGAACCAAGTGGCCCCGGCGGGCAGGGGAATTGAAACTGTACAGAAATAAATACTTACAAGAATGTTCATCGATTTTCACGATTAAATGAGCGAATATATGAGCGAGAACGAGTATTATTACACCCTAATATTTTCCATGAAGTTCACAAACACAAAATTTTTCCAGCTCATCCCAAATCCTTCAACTGTTCGTAATACTTAATTCTGAAATATATTTATTTTATTATAGAGAGCAGAGCGCACGAAAGAGTGCTTAGGATTGACAGGCATACAAAATACCGTACCCTTCATTGTCGTGTGAGTTACCGGGGAAGATGAGAAGAAATAAAATAAGGCTTAAAGCGTGGCGCTAGACGATGTATTGAGCTTGTCCAGCCTCACCAGAGTCGCAGTCAGCTCACCAGAGTCGCCGTCAGCTCACCAGAGTCGCCGTCAGCTCACCAGAGTCGTTGGTCTTGTACAGCCAGAGTCGCCGTCAGCTCACCAGAGTCGTTGGTCTTGTACAGCCAGAGTCGCCGTCAGCTCACCAGAGTCGTTGGTCTTGTACAGCCAGAGTCGCCGTCAGCTCACCAGAGTCGTTGGTCTTGTACAGCCAGAGTCGCCGTCAGCTCACCAGAGTCGTTGGTCTTGTACAGCCAGAGTCGCCGTCAGCTCACCAGAGTCGTTGGTCTTGTACAGCCAGAGTCGCCGTCAGCTCACCAGAGTCGTTGGTCTTGTACAGCCAGAGTCGCCGTCAGCTCACCAGAGTCGTTGGTCTTGTACAGCCAGAGTCGCCGTCAGCTCACCAGAGTCGTTGGTCTTGTACAGCCAGAGTCGCCGTCAGCTCACCAGAGTCGTTGGTCTTGTACAGCCAGAGTCGCCGTCAGCTCACCAGAGTCGTTGGTCTTGTACAGCCAGAGTCGCCGTCAGCTCACCAGAGTCGTTGGTCTTGTACAGCCAGAGTCGCCGTCAGCTCACCAGAGTCGTTGGTCTTGTACAGCCAGAGTCGCCGTCAGCTCACCAGAGTCGTTGGTCTTGTACAGCCAGAGTCGCCGTCAGCTCACCAGAGTCGTTGGTCTTGTACAGCCAGAGTCGCCGTCAGCTCACCAGAGTCGTTGGTCTTGTACAGCCAGAGTCGCCGTCAGCTCACCAGAGTCGCCGTCAGCTCACCAGAGTCGTTGGTCTTGTACAGCCAGGTGAGGGAGGCGTTGTCAGGAGCTTGGGACGTGACGAGGCTGACGGGGACGTGCCAGCGGTAACCGTGGGGCGAGTCAGCAGGGCTGGACACGGTAATGGTAATAGTTGTATATAGGTAATAGTTGTGTATAGGTAATAGTTGTACATAGGTAGTACTAGTTGTACATAGGTAACAGTTGTGTATAGGTAATAGTTGTACATAGGTAGTACCTACTAGTTGTATATGGGTAATAGTGGTGCATAGGTACTAATAGTAAGAACTATGGAAACGTTCATGGGTTGAAAACGTCTCGAAAAAGTATGCTTGAAACTAACTTAATTGTAGTAATGTAACCTCTCGAAGCTATGTAATCGCTTTGATATATAAATGAGTTATAGCCGTCCACGTGCTCATGATCTCACCTACGTCACCGTCCTGGGTATGCATGTCAGGCTTAGTAATAAGTACTTATATTATCAGTCTGCTTATATCGCAAGTTCACAAGGAATTTAAAAGCAAAGAAAACACCAAGCAAATTCACCATATCGATATTTCAATTCACGTGCTCATGATCTCACCCACGTCACCGTCCTGGGTATGGGACAACCTTAGTAACGTAGTCGTTATAAGAGTAAAGTTTTTATTAAATCATAAAAATCAGTGATAAGAACAGCGGCCGCACTATAAAAACAAGCTTACGTAAACGTAGGGGCCTACGTACACGTTGTGGCTTAAGTACATGTAGCGGCTTAAGTACAGGTAGCGGCTTAGGTACACGTAGCGGCTTATGTACATGTAGCGGCTTAAGTACATGTAGAGGCTTAAGTACATATAGCGGCTGAAGTACATGTAGCGGCTCAAGTACACGTAGCGCCTCAAGTATATGTAGCGGCTTAAGTATATGTAGCGGCTCAAGTATATGTAGCGGCTGAAGTACATGTAGCGGCTGAAGTACATGTAGCGGCTCAAGTACACGTAGCGCCTCAAGTATATGTAGCGGGCGGCTGAAGTACATGTAGCGGCTTAGGTACACGTAGCGGCTAGAGTACACTTAAAAGCCAGAGTATACATTGGGGCCGATTTTTTGTCTACATTTCATTAGTGGGTTTAGCTTGAAAAGCCGTCAGTTGATGACAGACGAAATAATAAACTGGTAACTCTTTCCGAGAGTGCGGTGCTAGGAGACTAATTGACAACTTACGAAATATAATTACTAGTCTTCTGCCAGTATTTAAATTTGTAACAATATCTGCAACGAACTGTTCTCTCTAGACTCAATATAAGTAAGCGCAAGACGTTATCAACAGTCAGCATCGAAAGCTCTTTTAATTATTTTATTCCTATTAAAAATTATTGACGGTTTTCGGTGGCCGATGAATGGCCTTTGGCTAGTGGTGTGTCGGTGCTAATAAACAATTTTAATTATTTTATTCCTATTAAAAACTATTGACGGTTTTCGGTGGCCGATGAATGGCCTTTGGCTAGTGGTGTGTCGGTGCTAATAAACAATTAGGCTTACAGCGTTGTAACGCTCAATTACAAGTAGTAAAGATCAGTGCGCGACACTAAAAAGTCTTGGATATATTGTGGGATGGAAGTTTTAATGTTCAATAAATTTAAATTAAATATAGGCGATTTGAGAAGTGCCTCTCAATATATTAAACGCCTTCCATATTCTGCCTTCCCATATCAGAAGTTAAGGCACCGGCAATCTTTAAGGCACCGGGAGGGCACCGGGAATGGTGCCTTAAAAAATTAAGGCACCGGGAAAATAGGCTCACTTGAACACCGGAAGCCTGCCAGGCCTTGGTGAGCTCCTCCCAGAGCTGCGCGGTGACGGCGTTCTGGTACGCGAAGCGCTTCAGGAAGCTGTTGATGCCCGCCTGGAACACCGGCGTGCCTACGAAGCCTTCCAGCATCCGCAGCACCGACGAGCCCTGGACAACACATGTTAAAGCCAGCCGTGAACAACACGACATGCTAAAGTCAGCCATGGACAACACATGTTAAAGTCAGCCCTGGACAACGACATGTTGAGGTCAGTCATGAACAGCATGACATGTTGAGGTCAGCCATGGATAACATGACATGTTGAGGTCAGCCATGAACAACACGACATGTTAAAGTCAGCCATAGACAACATGACATGCTAAAGTCAGCCATGGACAACATGACATGTTGATGTCAGCCATGAACAAAACGACATGCTAAAGTCAGCAATGAACAACACGAAATGTTAAAATCATGCCCGAGAAAAACTTGAGCGTTGCAGTCATCACTATGTGTCCTTACCTTGTCGTAGGATATGGAGTCAAACATGGCGGTGATCTGGTCATGGGTATAGTCCTTACCTTGTCGTAGGATATGGAGTCAAACATGGCAGTGATCTGGTCATGGCTGTAGTCCTTACCTTGTCGTAGGATATGGAGTCAAACATGGCGGTGATCTGGTCAGGAGTGTAGTCGTAGGATATGGAGTCAAACATGGCGGTGATCTGGTCAGGAGTGTAGTCATTACCTTGTCGTAGGATATGGAGTCAAACATGGCGGTGATCTGGTCAGGAGTGTAGTCATTTTGTCGTAGGATATGGAGTCAAACATGGCGGTGATCTGGTCAGGAGTGGTCACACTCTGGACAATGGCATGAGAACTGAGTTTGGAGTCGAGGTCGAATACTGACTGCAGCGAATCTGTCACGAATTGAGAGCCCTGGAAATGCAAACCAGTTACTCACAACTCATGAATTTTCTTGGTTCACTACTAAATTAGCATAAGAAATATAACATTTATTCATAAAATGCATGATACATATATCAACAGACGTAAGAAATCTGTAATGAACTGGAAAAAATGTATGTTTCGGGTAAATAGATGGATTTCGGGGTACTCCGAAAAAAAACTCATGTAGGTACTGAGGATAGAATGTGGCAACTGTGCTACTACTTCACAATGTGTTAGAAATAGAAATATACATCTCAGTTCAGTGTATACAAATAGTATGCCAGCTTGACTTGACGCGGTCAGGTGACAACCGATCGGTCAAATCTTATTTAGTTTACATGCTTTCAGTAAGAAATAAATACCTAGAGTTAAATGAATAAAAAGCTTACCATATCCCAGCCTGTCTCGACATGGTCCACGCCTTTGGTCTCGATGTACGAGGCAAAGCCTTCGTTGAGCCACAGGTCGTCCCACCACTTCAGGGTGACTTGGTACAAAATAAAAAATCATTTTTTAAATATTTCCTAACTTAAAGATCAAATTCAAATTTGAATGTTAATTCTTGAGGATTCAATAGGTAGCTTCCTGAAATGGTGGGAGATTTATAATTCAAAGAAATAAGTTGGTCGAATCAAATCCTGATACGATATATACTTGTACACTCAGAGTTGATACAATCATTAAAAGATCGGAATCTAATATCATGAAATGTTATAATATCGAATGATCACACGTGCGCGCTTTCATTCTTTCTTTCGGCTCGACCAATCGCAAGCATTTGCTCTTCATAAAAACGATTAAAAGTCAACTAATAACGGTTACTCCAAAACTTTACGAAAGAGTAAAACTTTTCTGTTTGCTCTATTGCAGTCAAGAATAATTTTGTTCCATGGAATTAGCAATACATTATTCTCTTAAGTATTAAGGTTACTTGATTGCTTATATGGCAAATTTATCAAGAATTTAAAAACAAAAAAAAAGACAAAAATTCACCATTTCCAATGAGTGAAAACGTTCCGGAGTACAGCTACATCATCAGTTCAAAAACCTTGAACACAAGTAAAAACAACTGCTTAACTAAAATTCACAGTGAGGATATTAATCTTATTAATTAAGGATATAAATTATTAAATGAAAACAAATAAAAATGAAGAAAATATGAGCAGGAAAGCCTACCCTTAAGTTTACTAATTGTTTAGATTGTGTTCTAGGTTCTTGAACTGACGATGCAGCTAGACTCCGAAACGTTTTCTCTCATTATAAACGGTGACTTATTTTGCTATTTTCTTTACTTATAAAAAAATTGATTATTCACTTAAAATTCCAAGACTCATATGAGCACCATCATATGAGTAGGGTGGACCAGTGGTTAAAGTTCAGAGTACCAAGATTGGCGCAGAGAGGCGCGGGTTCGATCCCAGCTCTGTGCGCCAGTTTCTGGTCAGAATCGGCAAGAAGGCCGGGCGGTTAAGCAAAGAAAATTTGAAGCAGTGAGTTGCGAGTTCAAGCCCGCAACAAGCCGTGGATGTTCTGCAATGTTAAGAATCGGCGACAGGCCCATGGCCTAATAAACGCTGAAACAGCTATATTATCCCGTCTAAACATCAAATACAACACACCGAGGTTGCCAAACCACTGGTGCGCGAGTTCATGCGCCACGACAGAGCAGACTCTCTGCTTGTTGGTCTCGGAACTCTTGGTGGGGTTGTAGAAGATGCTCGTCTCCCTGTAGGTGATGATGCCCCAGTGCTCTGTGGCCCCAGACACGTAGTCGGGGATGGCCGCCATGTCTGGTGATGGGGTTGAGGTTATATAAACGATTGTTTTTACGACACTTCTCTCTCACTTCACTTTTTACAAGACTTCTCTTTAACTTCACTTATTACAAGACTTCTCTTTAACTTCACTTAGTGTTGTTTGTCTGCTACAAATCTTATAATAGATAGTATTTCACACTTCTTACTGTACAATCGATCTGAAATTTTGCCCACTCGCGTAAAGTCGGAGACAAAGCATGAATCAATTGACAGAATAAAGAATTAAAAAAATGTTATGCAAAAAAAAGTAAAAATATTTTTTATATATTTAAAAATAATAAAATAAATTCATTGTACATTAGTGACATCAGAGACACTGGCCTCTTTAGAAGTGTTGTCTTTAATATGGAGAACTCGTGGCCATCATCAACAATGGAGAACTCGTGGCCATCATCAATAATTAGGCAGTGGAGAACCTACCGTCGTCAACTGTTAAGTTTTCATCTGTTAAGTCATCCCGTCTTCAACGTGAACCTGTGGTATGCAGCTAATGATATAAAAGGGCGGAGGGTAGTTAGTTATCTGTCGTCTGGTGGAGAGAGGCAGAGGATAGTTA